TCACTTGTCTCTTTTCCTAAGACTTCCATGTAGCGCTACAACAACCTACCTACTTGTCTTAATTCTTCACCTCAGCAATTGGCCTCTGAATTTCGTATTGTCTAGTATCTCGCTAGTTATCCAGAGTTCTATTCTGTTGTTTATCCTGAGATCATCAAGGATGGTAGTGAAGACGGTTATAAAAAATTACTGGCATCGTTTGCATCTATGCAACTTGCTATTACAGTCACGCAGCTTATTTATTAATAATTCTTTACTGTTGCTCCTAGTTGAACTCATGCTTATTGTCTTATATTGTTCCATCTGTTCTCTAATGCTTTTCATGTTGCAATAAGCCTGACTGACTGATTTGACAGAGCAGCTACATATATACAGTGAGAAATGCATGATCTAGGTTCGTTCTTTAACTAGTTGTGTGTATTTATTAAGCCCAGGATTTACTTATATAATTTATATAACCCATTATATTGTTCTGAAAGCAGATACAGAAGCCACCAACTATTGTTCTCTCACAATTGTGCCCAGTTCTGGAAAATACTTATGCAAAGTGTTCCGAGAATTTATTGTAAGTGGATGGACGGTAGACAGTTCCTACTAGTCCTGGTTTCGTCGTCAGCAACAACACTTTAGACAACAGGTTCTCCAGATTATTGTCATACAAGTCAGGTCTTGGGCTGTAAACCAAGTCACTTCTTACCATACAATAGAGCGATAATGTCAGAGAATCTCGCCTTCAAAGACCACAACAATGTATCTACCGCAAAATGATGGGATGGATAATGAGAACCTTCAAAACTAGGGACGCCAAGCCAATGATGATTCTCTTCAAATTGCTTGTTCTCTTTAGGCTGGAATACTGCTGTACACTAACTGTCCCCTTCAAGGCAAGCGAAATTGCTAATCAAGATTGCTAATCAAGAGAGTGTACAAAGAACTTCCACAGCACACATAAGTATGATAAGGCACCTAAATTACTGGGGACGGTTGAAGTCCCTTGATTAGTATTCCCTGGAACGCAGGCGAGAGAGGTACATGATAATATACACTTGGAAAATCCTAGAGGGACTAGTACCAAACCTGCACAGGAAAATCACTCCCTTTGAAAGCAAAAGACTCGGGAGGAGATGCAACATTCTCCCAATGAAAAGCAGGGGCGCCACGAGTACACTGAGAGACAACACAATAAGTGTCCGGGGCCTAAGACTGTTCAACTGCCTCCCAGCATACACAAGGGGGATTACCAATAGACCCCTGGCTGTCTTCAAAAAGGCGTTGGACAGGCACCTAAAGTCAGTACCTGACCAACCGGCCTGTGGTTCGTACGTCAGTTTGCGTGCGGCCAGCAGTAATAACCTGGTTGATCAGACCCCGATTCACCACGAGGCCTGGTCTCAGACCGAGCCGCGGGGGCGTTGGCCCCCGAAACCCTCTCCAGGTAAACTCCATTAAATTGCATTTGTCTTTATTTTTCAATAAAATCACTGACTCATAATTAAGTTTCTGAGGAGAGCATCTTGATTCAACTTGTAAATTATTCTTTCATGTGAGAGTCAACCTTCACAGAAATTACTCAGGATTGACAAAGTTTAGGTGTATAAGTGTTGACAACGAACAACAAACAATTTTAATTATTAAAAAGTGGAATACAGTATACAATTGACACTGGTGTAATTGACATGTATAAACAACTTTATAGAAATCCCCTTCTTATCTAAAGCATTTTAAGTAGCCTTAAAATAAACTTTTATATCGTAAATAATGAGACAATTATAAAAGTTTAATGGAATGCTATAGCTTGCTATATTTGATATTAAAATCCTGTAACAATTTGTTGTAATGAATTATGATATTTTGAGATTAATATATATGCTGAAAGAGTGTGTTGATAGTGTGAACATCAGTATGAATGCTACTATGATTTAGATCACCTGGGTTGCTATTGATACATCAGGCTTAAACACAGCTTATTTAAACAGGGCTTAAGTTAGATATAAAGATGCTCTTTGACGATATTTTCGAAGCAGGCGGCCCAAGGGAAACTTTTTGCATCTTTTAGAAGGAGGTTCCAAAATTTAGGACCCTTGATATGCATGGAGTTCCCGTATAGGTTGAGAAGACACGCATTATATTAAAGAGACACTCATTGCATGTATTATGTATATGTGTTCTATCACAGCTCTCCAGTACATGTTGGAACGCTGGGTTGAAGATTGTTGTGAGTGCCCTGTATATATAAAAAGCACAGTAGCAAGCGTGGATGCATTGTGTGGGCAGTAAGTTAAGACTTTTGAACAATGGAGGAGTGTGTTGTCTGAATATGATTGGGTAATTATTCTCAAAGTTAATTTGTTGGGTAACAATGGGTTTTGAGGTGAGCTGCTGTAGTACATCCCCAAGCATAAATACAGCAGTTGAGGTAATGATAGATGAGAGAATAGTACAGAGTGAGTAATGTTATTTGAGGAACAGAGTATTTTTGAAAGAATATCTATAGTTTGGGAATTTTTTTTAGATATATGTTAGATGTGAGTGTTGAATGTCAGGTTGCAATCAAGATGTATCTCTAAGAATTTTTCCTCGACTTCCCTGTACATGTGTGAATTATTTATTTTTATGATGAATTGGGTATTTTTTTTTAGCATTATTTTCGAACAACATGTAGGTCTTGTCAACGTTGAGAGTAAGTTTGTTGCTGCCATCCAAGTAGAAGTCTTTACCAGCTCCTCGTTGACTGTATTGTTGAGGACAGTAGGATCTGGATTAGATACGACAAATGTGTGTCATCTGCAAACAGGACTGGTTTAAATTCCTGGGAGGCATTTGGTAGGTCCTTTATGTAATGGGCCAAGGATGCTACCCTGAAGCACCCCTATGTTAACAGCATGTGTTAAGGTAGTATCAATGATAGTCACATGCTGACGTCTGTCTATGAGGCAGAACTTTATATGAGTGAGAGCAGGCTCTCTGATATCACTATACCTTTGTGTCAGCAGCAAGATGTGGTTCACAGTGTCAAATGATTTACTTAGATGAATAAGGAGGTCCATTGGATATTCATTATTTTCTTAGAGCTGAACAGACATTGTCTAAATAATGTTACCAATTGCTGCTTGTTTGTTTATACCAACAACAGCGTTGGTAGTGGCAGTAGCAGTAATATTCATGATGCTCTGGCAAAAGTCTCCCATTTTTACACTTTTACTAACTTCGTTGTTGCTTTTTGAGGTTACGTAGCAACAGTAAAAAAGTGGTGTGGAATAACCAGGTCTGTCATTATAATAATGAGACAAACTATAGGTCAGCCGTTCGGGGTTCAGCACGGACTTAATACAAGTAATACCATCAAAGATGTGAGAACATCACACAAGGCTAAACCTTCAGATGTAAGCGATTGTCTTGGGACTTGATAAAGGTCCTCCCGAGCGGAATATTGTTTAAGGTAGAGGCTTTACTTTGTATGTTGTTATGTTAAAGTACACATGTGCAACTAATGCGACATTTTGTTGTGGCAACGTTTCGCTCTCCTGGAGCTTTGTCAAGCTGTTACCGGTCACAGCTTGACAAAGCTCCTGGAGAGCGAAACGTTGCCACAATAAAACGTCCCATTAGTTGCACATGTGTCCTTTTACCTAACATAATGTCGGTAATTCTACCAACATTATTTATTACACTTTGTATGTTTTTTTCTTCATACCTTTTTATATCTTATACACAATATATTATACAACGGCATTTTAATACATATGTACAAGGTGCACAGCGATAAGATGTGGAGTCACATTATTAAAATTATACATACCAGTTAGACAGAAATCAGCATAATTATTATCACTTCAGAAAAAAAATATTTATTTTATAGTTTATTTGCAATCTCAGAAATTCTTCAATACATTAGACCCTTTGCGCAATATAAGTGCCGTGTAACCCAAACGGGTTTACCGCTTGAATTGATTATATTATTATTTGGATGGAAAGAATTCACAAGTAACATTAAACTCTTGAAATAGATAACTCATAAGCGGAGAAATTATTGAACATTAAAATGGTATAAAATACCGACAGGTTGTTAGGTAAGACACATATGCAACAGTTAGGTATCTTTATTATGAAACGTTTCGCCTACACAGTAGGCTTCTTCAGTCAAGTACAGAAAAGTTGATAGAAGCAGAAGATACTTGAAGACGATGTAATCAGTCCATCACCCTTAAAGTTTTGAGGTGGTCAGTCCCTCAGTCTGGAGAAGAGCATTGTTCCATAGTATGAAACAATGCTCTTCTCCAGACTGAGGGACTGACCACCTCAAAACTTTAAGGGTGATGGACTGATTACATCGTCTTCAAGTATCTTCTGCTTCTATCAACTTTTCTGTACTTGACTGAAGAAGCCTACTGTGTAGGCGAAACGTTTCATAATAAAGATACCTAACTGTTGCATATGTGTCTTACGGAGAAATTATTGCTATAATTATCACAAGTAGCAGAGGAGGTTCTGCCACGTCTTATAAAGGCTGATTCAACCCTTGTTTATTGACTACTTATCATTCCTTACAGCTTACTTTTCCTGCATTCATTTGTATTAGAAGTTTTCTCAGTCTTATAAGCTGAAGTGATACTAACGAGTAGAAACTACATTTCAAGCAAACTAATGATGTTTACGCTCTCGTTGTACATCATAGTTTGAAGAGTTACAAAAACTGCTTGGGAAGACATGACAGTCATAAACATTGACCCTGATAAAGCCTAACACCACTGAGTTGAAAATACCATATGAACGCTAGCTGAAATATTTCCTCTTGACTCGCAGCTGCATTGCAAAACAGCCGAGTGCGCTGTAAATTAACGAATAACCTAGTTACCTCTTAACCTCACCATTACGCGACTTATTACTAAAAAGCGGACATGAAATTCATAATCATGAGATCATCAGGAAGAATGAAGTCTCGAACTTTGCGAGTATATAAGTGGGACGACGTGGAAGGATGATCAGCGGTGTTACTCGTGTTCGGTGAGAACATTATGAACACCTCTGCGGTTCTAAGCCTCCTCGTCCTGGTGGCAAGTACTGGTGCTGGTGAGTTCCTCACAGTATATAATGTTACAGTAGATGGTGTGGGAATACCGTCCTGTTGTGCTGAGAAAGACACAAAACAAAGAGTAATTGGAAACTTTATCCTGATAAGGTCTCGCCAGCACAACAGATTTGTTAAGCCAATAGAATTTATTCGAGAGATTATAGAAGCAGGGGCGAGGAGAGGTCAGGTGCTAGGAGAGTCAAATGTTAGGAGAGCTCAGGTGTTAGGATATACTTGAGAAATTATTACAAATCTGCAAACTCTTACTAATACAGCTGTTCAATGAAGCCTCTCAAGATCGCAACTATCAAGCAGAACTCCTAACACCGCTCCTTACCCTTCTCACACCTCACCTCTCACACCTCACCTCTCACACCTCACCTCACCTCACATCTCGCACCTGCCTATACAATCTCTTTTCCCCTGTTTTATTGACATGAAAAAGCCTAGTTGTAATAGGCATGGTAATAACAAAATGTTGTTAAGGATACTTCCGTACCGTCCAGGACATTTATGTAAGGCAACGTTTCGCCACGAGTGGCTCCTTCATCCCTAAGGAGCCACTCTTGTGCGAAACGTTTGCTCAAGTAAATGTCCTGTGTTGTACATGTGATAATGCCTCTCGTACAGGCTAGATAAATACTGTAAAACAAATATTGCCCAGTTGCTGCATTTGTCTCAAAATGTACTGACCATACATAGTAATAATAATAATAATAAATTCTGTGAAGCTGTAAAGCCGTGAGGGTCACTCAGCTATAGCGTAGATAAAGTTAGACACTGGCAACTCTTGTACTTATGAGAAACGTTTCGCACAGACAGTGCTTACAGTTCCTTACATAGGATACACTTGAAGAACTAGAGAAAATGGATTCATGTTCCACAACCTGAGGTTCTATGTGTCAAATGTGACTTCATCAATCTTGAATTACATTTAAGAAGATGAGCGACGAAGAAAAATCGTAATAGAGAGAGTAACAGTTTGATAATAGCCATTGTCCAATGTGGTAGGTTGTGCCTAAGAATGAGAACTTGCAAATTCCATTGGCACAACCAATTACCACATGAACAAATGTGAGAGATACCTTCGGAATGACGTTCGGTCCACTGGACCATGCATAGTTTTATTCTATATTGGAGGTTTGCTTCACCTCAACCTTCCGTGAGTTAAGTAAGTTGGGGTATCAGACGGATGCCTTTGGATGCATCAATCGACATCTGTTGAGGTACTCGATAATGACTCTATTTTTTATCTTTCTTTTCATCAATGCTTGCGCAGTACCTTCTGTATGACTGATGAAACCTACTTGCAAACGTTTACCTCAATAAGTATACTATTTTGCACATGTGCCTAAATTTATAACAGTGTTCTCTGAACCTTCAGCTCAAGCAAACTTTGTCAAGCGTAAGGTAAGCGTAGTTATAGCTGTAGCAAGGAAGCTACGATCACTGAAAGGCAGACCGACCTTACGTTTCATTAGCGCTTCCAATGAAGACTTTATATAAACACCCTGGATTAATTTCACCACGAAGGAATTAATGCAAAAATCGCTGAATGGTTAGTTAAAGTTATTATCGTCAAATTACTTTTAAGTTAAAAAGTTCGATCCGAAGAAAAAATTGTAAATTAAAAAAAATTGATTTTGATAACACAGCCTTGGCCGAAATGTGGCTATGGTCTGTTACTGATTAACCTTCGATGAGAAGAACAAAAAGTCACAATACTGCGACTGGAACAATACACAGTAACCCGGACAGAGGAGAAGAACCTTCGGACGACGTTCGGTCCAACATGGACCATTGACTAGATAATCTTCATTGCCTATATATTGGAGGGTTTGCTGAGTCAACTAATATACCTCTTACGTGAGTTGAAGTAGAGTGCTGGGGTTATCAGACACCGGGATGCCTTTCTGGGATTGCGCAGTAACTGCTACATCTTGTATGAGTATTTTAACTCGTAAACTGATTTATTTTTTAATATAATTTAATCTTCAAAATAATGCTATTTTTGCAGCATGTCAAACCTTCGATATATAAACAATAATGAACAAATATTAGATGTTAAATGCCACAATTAATTTCTATTTTCTCAGCGCCATATGAAGAAGTAACTACATGTTCCACGGAATGTCCCGTCGCAGGCTCACCGAAACTTTTCTACCAAGAAGGTAAAACTTACATATATGAGTACTCTGGGAAATCCAAGATCCAGCTTAAAGGCGTAGATGGACAGACAGAGACGGAGTGGTCTGCACAAGTTGAACTCTCATGGATCACCCCTTGTGACATAGTCATCACTATGAAGGACTCTGAGAGAGACAGTGCCTCTGGTAAGTGTACAAATTATAGACGTATGACGCTGATACAACGTTGGTAGTGATTCTGCTGCTTCCGAATGTTTCAACAAAATGTACAAATTACTGTTTCTCTGTCACGTTTAGTCACCATATTATTATCAATTTATGTCTTAAATACTATAGCCCTCCTATGCTCATTTTTTTTCCACTGTTGTCGCTGGATGTACTAGCTGTTTGTATCCTTCCAGTCCCAGACGCTGCCAGGTTCCTGGAGAGGTACCCACTGGTGGTGGCTGTGGTCGACGGCAGAGTTCAGCATGTGTGTAGTCATCCTGACGACGATACCTGGTCCATCAATATTAAGAAAGGCATCGCCTCGACCTTCCAGAACTCACTCCCTTCTAATTCCACTGTCAATTCAGGACAGAATATTACCGAGGTGAGACTATAATAACCTTCTATAATTAGAAAATTGTTAAAGAAATGGAGTCGAAATACAGAAGTGACACCAGAAACAGTAGAGACGTAGATACAACGTAATCAGTCCTCCAGCCTGGAGAAAAAAGTATGTTTGAGGTGATCAGTCCCTCAGCCTGAAGACGATGTGTTCAATCTATCAATCTTAATAAAAGTACTGCATACGAGCAGAGATGAACCTTTATTGTGCACGTTGCCACAATAAAGATACCCAAGTGTAGCACAGGTGTCACAATCATCAACTTGTCGGTTTTCTTAATCATTTATATAATAATACCTATCAGTCACAGCAACATTTTGGGATCTTGATACAGAGAATCCTTCAGCGCTTGCCTAACCAATTGGCTTGACCTACCTCCCCCCTCAAGGAAGGTTCCTTGATGTTGGTGAGGAGCTCTTGAATTAGGGAATTGGATCTGTGCTCCAGTTCCCCGAATTAGGCTGAATGCCTTCCACATCCCACCTAGCGCTGTATAATCCTCCGTTAGGCGCCCTTGATTATAATAATATTGACTAACTCCACTATGAATTTTGTCATAATGAGCGTCCAATGTTCACTCACCTGTCTCAATACGTGTTATTTAACAAGATTAATGGAATGAGGGATGATTACTTAAACTCATCATCCTAAATTTTCTATTATGGAATGATATATTATATATATATATATATATATAATTATATATATATATATATATATATATATATATATATATATATATATATATATATATATATATATATATATATATATATATATATATATATATATATATATATATATATATATATATATATATAAAGAGAAGAGAGAGAGAAGAGGTACCACCTCTAGAACTGTCATAGGGACAATCATCCTCAGAGAAAAGAATAAATGTGGGTGTCTATAATGTAATTACGCTTATATATAGCCAACAGTCAATAATACCATTAATGCTACTATGTATTTTTACATGAACTCGTTATTACATTTGATATTGCTGTAATGTTTTAAAAATGTGAAGAAATAATATTTTTTTTTTACTATAATTTAAAAAAAAAAAATATGTTCTGTTTTGCCGAATTTCTTTCAACAGATAGATGTGGTAGGAAGGTGCCCAACGAGGTATGAAGTAGAGAATCATGGAGACAGAGTTATTATGTGGAAGGAGAAGAATCACCGACTGTGCAAGGAAAGTTACCCCACCCCTGCTGAGACCCAGGTTCCCTGGCTCAGAGGTCCTCTGCCTCTGGAAGAGTCTAAGAGTAAGTGTAAACAAGAAATTAGAGATGGAATCTATTCCACCATCACTTGTGAGGATAAGAAAGTAGTCCGGCCCAGTTATGGATTCTATCAGTATGTTGAAGCCAAACAGGAGTCAACCCTGAAATATCTATCCGAATCCAGTGAACGTTCACCTAATATTCCTCAAGGTAACATGATCCGCAAGAGTCTCAAGTATGACTATGATACACCTAAGAAAGACCCGTCCATGGTAGCCCAGTTGGATCAGCTCATGAGGCAGGTCTGTGAGAAGACCAGAGATATTGTTGAACGTGATGCTGCTGCTTTGGTAGCCAGGGCAGCACAGCTGTTGCGTATGGTGCCCGAAGAGGTAGTGGAACGAACCTTGGAAAAAATTCGCTGTGGTCAATACTGTCAAGATCCAAAGAAGCTGGAAGAACTTTTCTTGGATGCTGTTAGCTTCGTCCACGAGTCTGGTGCAGTAAAAGTTATGGTGAAGGAGCTGGTGAGCGAACGTTCCAACAAGTAGTCGTGTTGTCCTCTAACTACTGCTTTCTACCTCCTTCCTCGTCCATGTATCCACGCCATATGGCGTTAAAACCATTGTTTGAATCCACCCGGCCTCTAGCAATGCCCACTCTGGCTGCTGCTTCTATGGTAAATACTTATTGTCGTCACAATCATAACTGCCATGAGCAAGCACCGGTCAGAAGCCTAGTTGAAGCTCTAGGTAATAAACTAAGAAGACAGTGTTCCGCTTCTAACGACGAACATACTGTAAAAGCTGCCCTAACAACACTCAAGGCTCTGGGTAACATGGGTGTGATGACCCAAGAGGTCACCACATCTGTCCTCAGGTGTATGGAGACTGAAGGAGTTGAGAAGAGGATCCGTGTGGCTGCGGCACAAGCCTTCAGACAAACAAAATGTCATCGCTCTGTAAGTAGCATTTCAGCATAATTGAAAATTACACAATGTTAAAAAAAAACTGTATATTAATAACACTCTAACATGCGTAATATGAATTAATTTTGTATTTTTTGTGCTTGCAGGTAACCGAACAACTAGTCAGTACAGCTGTGCATCCTGCAAAAGATACAGAAATTCGCATTTCATCTTATCTTATGGCAGTTAGGTGCGCTAAACGAAAAGATTTAGAAAATATTGTTGCTTCAATATCCAGGGAAGACAACACACAAGGTAAGACTTTAACATCGTGTCTTTAATCTCCATAGTCGTATTCTTCTTGTTCTAAAGTTTAAAATTTTGTTCGAGAAAGTATTTTAATATATAAACGAAATACACGTACCATATATTTTCTTACAACACCTAGAGTGGCAAAGTCTGCAGTTAATGAAATGCCTCTGATAAATTTCAGTTCGTGGGTTCGTACTGAGTCACCTGTTGAACCTCCAAGACACCAACACACCACACAAGGAACACCTCCGACATATGCTGACGAACGTTCTCCTTCCAAGAGATTTTAAGATAGACATTAGGAAATATTCTCGCAACATAGACCTTTCATATTTCTCACCTTCTGCGGGTGTTGGTGCTGGCCTGGAGTCCAACATCATCTACGCTCCAGGATCCTTCATCCCTCGATCTATTGACTTCAACCTCACTGCTGCTTTAGAGGGAATCTCAATGAACATAGGCGAGGTTGGTGCACGATTTGAAGGCCTAGATCCATTTATTGAGAAACTGTTTGGCCCAGAAAGTTACTTCCAGAAAGCTAGTTATGAACAAATATTCAGTGAAATGACATCATTGTTTCATGAAAAGAAAAACAAATTCCTAGAACATTTCCATGGAGACTTCAAACATAAAAGATCAATTGATATGTCTACATTGTCCAACTTCTTCCATAATCTCTACAGTGATGAATCAAGATTAGTCAAGGCTGATGTTTTTGCTCGCTTTATGGGCCAGGAGATAAGTTTTGCCTCATTAGCTGGAGACTTGACGGACATCAGTGCTGACAGATTTATAGAAGCCTTTTTCTCTTACTTCATGACATCGCCGATCAAATGAAGCACTTAAACATCAATTCTGCCAGAACTGCTCAATTGCACTTGGACTATTATTTCCCCACCATCCAGGGCACTCCATTCAAGCTTAAGATGGACGGAACAGCTGTTTTAGGAATGCAGATTGAGGGAAATCTCAACCTTATAAATATGATAGCTAACTGGAAAAAAGGTGAGAGTATCTTGAAGCTTGTTCCCAGTTTGTCTGTGGAGGTTGATGGCTTCGTTGGTTATGACTGTCATATCTCTAAGACAGGCCTCGAAATGAAAAATACGATCTCCAGTAGCAATGGTGTCTCCTTTATGGTGAGACCAAAGAACAATAATGAACTAGAACTTGAACTGGACATCCCAGCCAAGATGGACTTCATTGATATAGAGAGTAAAATTCACTTTATAAAAGAGGTAAAAGGAAAACCTGAAACAACTGTCTCAGTTTCACCATCAAGTGAGGACGAAGTCACACATCAGTCTTGTTCCAACTCACTTGAGTCAAGTATTGGTATTAAACTTTGCTACAAATTCAATTTCTTCGACATACTCCGTAGCAACAGTTTCCTACAGGTACGCCATTTGTTGCAAAGTTATCCTTAGAGAAAGTTGATCCCTCAGTGAAAGGATATATCGTGAGAACAGCAATTCAGGGTGATAGCAATAGAAAATTGATTAAAATGAAGCTAGAAGTGCCTGGAGCCACTACTGCAAGGGACGTTGAAACCGTTGTGTCCTATACCAAAGAAGAAGATTCCTACAAGATTTCAGCAGAGCTGGGATTCTCTGACGTTAGCAGCAATTTCGGTGCCCACTTTACCAACAAGGTAAACCAGAAAGGTGTCCAGGCTTTTGCTAAATACAAGTCTAGTGATACAGAAATATTCCACGCAATAAAAGCAGATATTATGGCCAGGTCAACAACAGAGACATGGAATACCACGTAACAATGTACGTCAGCAGAAGCGAAGATTTCTCCCCTCAGTCTCAAGTGATCGAGTGGAAATTTAGCAAGAGAAATAATGGCCCTGAAATATCACTGGATATTTTAGCAAAGACAAAGAATGCATGGAAAAGTTACATTGACCTGAACCTAGATGGTAAGTGTAATTTGCAAGTTAACCAGTTTTGTAGAATAATTATCCAGTGGAAATTAGCAAATTCCTATAGATTTCAGTTTAACAAATTTACAAAACGTTTTCCTATAAAAAATAAATATAAAGTATATAATCCATGACTGTTATACAGGTGGAGTGGACCTGAGGTACGCTTCACACTCCAGCGTGCCTCTACCAAGAAAGCTACGCAAATTTGAGTTCCACACCGGCTTGGGAGGCTGGAAGGTCATATCATTTGTCCGTCAGACATCAGAGTCTGGCGACAAGGTTGAATTTTCTTCTGCCTTCAAGATAGCTCGCAGGAATGAAGACTTTATCTTTCTTGAGGCCACCCACACTACACAAGGAAGACTCTACACGGACTTTGTTTGCAAGACAACAGCTAAAGGCATAGTATTTTTCTAATTTCTGTAGCCAAATTTCAAATATATTAGAACATTTATATATTATTTATACTATTTTAAAGGTTTCTCGTGTCTGGTATCATTAACGCAGAATTATTAAGAGGGATATTATTTTTATCGGGTGCTAATAAGATTTTCAGCGCTGGGTCAGTGGAAAGGCTCAGCGATTGAGTAGCAAAGCAATTCCCATATCAAACTAAATAAGGGAAGAGGGGGGAATTTTAAAGGTAAATGTTTTGAGAAATTAAATGCTCACTTCATGAAAATGGCCGCGCTGTAGTACAAAGCAGCTTCCGTATCACTATGAACATGGGAAGGTATGTTAGTACATTACAAGTAATTTATCTGAAGATAATGTGAAGGTGGCTGACCTTGAAGCTGTCCATGATTGCTCTGGCCAGTCCTGTAGCACTAAAGTTATGGTAAGTTGTTATTGTTATTACCATTACAGTGGTAGTAAGTTTACTCTGCTATAAATAAAATTTCTGCAAGTTTTCGTTACTTGATATTTAATTTTAAAGTGACAGTAAACTGACGTTATTGAAATTTATCGCAAAACAAAAATGGTAGCAGTTTGTACTACTCTTTCTGTTCAACACTTGCACTAAATTTTACACTGGTTACACTTCTTCATATTTAACACTAGAATTTGGAACCTAATTCTCAGGAATAGATTTTTTTTAACTGATTTTTCATATAAGACGGTTTTTCACTGGGACTATAAAAACTATTAGCTGCAATCCTTTCTTCTCTAATTTAGTACCGTATTTTGAATGTTTAGGCCTCCTTAAAGTCAATATCATGCAAACACTGCGATCAATCTTAACAGATTCCTTACGCTTTTGTTTACCAGGTAGACGTCCCGAAGTACACCAGAGTCATAAAATTTGATTGTAACAGAATAGAGCAGGGGCAAGATCGCTACATGGTCAGAGCTGCTTTAAATCATGGAGAGCGCATGTTGCTTCGAGCTCATGGACCAGTAACAGCTATGCTCTCCTCAGATATGACAAAGCTTGAAACTCATATTAAACTTATTACAATAACTAATGAAGAACTTAAGATATCTTCCAATTTTGTTTTTGCTAAGAACCAGCATGTTTTGTCAGTGGAACTTAGCACGCGAGAGCTAGTCTTTGCGGCTGAATGGAAAATAAAATTTAGTTCCTCTCAAGGAACTACGATTGGAATAAAGTTCCAGCTTCCAGCTTTGGTAGATAAGAAACTTGATGCCATTATCAGCGACAAGCTGATCCATGTTAGTTTCGACATTCAGTTTTTACCGAAGAGTTCGTCTCCTCGCAGAATAAAAGCGTTTACTGACATAGACTTCGAAAACAAGAAGTGGATGGCTGACTTCGCTTGGGATGCTGACCGTGTCCAGCGTAAAAAGATCATTCTTGACACTAACGTGATTAGCAATTCATCCAACCCAGGACGATTTTCCATTTAGTAAGTAACTTTGGTCCCTCCTGTTTGATAATATAATTATATAGATAATGCCATTACTACCTATAGGACATGTACTGTAATAATATAAGTGTAACAACAGTATGACGGCTGGTGATCATATTCGCATGCTCCCACACCTCTAGGTGCCAGTGTCAGTTGGAACCAGGATTCCTTTCAGGCAGGACATCTACTTGGCAGACACATACAACCATAGATAATATACCGATACCAGAGCAAAGGACGTCTATTATTCCAGCCCTTTATACTCCCCACTTTACCTCACAACAGTTATTGCTATATTCGCACAAAAAAAATGCTGAACTCTTGTTGGATAACAGTTTTGAAGAATTTTCTCAATAATATTAATTAAATAAAAAATAGATTAAATAAAGTGTGAAAGGTGCAACTTTTAATTTTCAGTGGCAATGTCAAGTGCATGAATGAGATGTACCACGTCAAACTTGATATAGAGGCAGAAAATCTACGACAATACCGCTATGGAGAGAATGGCTTCAACCTGGAGTTAACGTCACCACAGAGGAGCTTGGAATGGAAGTTAAACACCAACGTTGAATCCAGGTCCGCGAAAGTAGATATGAATCTTCAATGCAAGTTCCAGGATGACAGGGAATACAGGTTGACAAGTGTTGTGGATATTGAAAAGCTTGGTAGTCCATACAGCTACAAGCTGGAGTCTGAGATGAGCTTCACATCACCAGGAGGACAGGAGACTACAGTTCACGCTGAGGCGAAACACCAAGTTACTTCAGAGGAACGTGAAATATATTATAAGGTGAGTTATTTCTTATTTTGTTTAACCATTTTTACTTGAGAACCGTTTAAGGGTTTACTGAAATTATGTAAAGAAGATAATTATTTAAGTGGTATGTGAATTTATTTATCTTATCCCTTACGCTTGATTTAATTTTCCCATAACTTATTTATACATGTATTTTTAACGTGACATCATTTACATTAGTTTTTATTTAAATCATATTCTGAAATCATTTGCAAATTATGACATCATTTACACTGCTTCTGACATCATGCACATTGTTGCATTGTACACATTAACGGTGATACATATATTGTGTTACAATGAATATTAATAATTGGAAAATAAAGAATTGCATTGCTTCACAGGCAAGTGTAAGGACTCCTGCTTTGAGAAGATCTCTTGTGCTGGAGATGTCATCAGTTAGCCAAGAGTTATCCTACAGTTTGAAAGCCCTGACGGAGAGGGACTCCCCTGCCACCATGATCAATTGGGAAATGAAACTTTATCCTGAAGGAGGAGTTGAAAAGTTTGTGTCATCCGTGGATATGAATGCTCTTCGTGATTTCCTCAAGTCCGCTCTTGATATTGTGGCCATAGAAGGTGAGGAATATTCTTCCGGAAGTGGAAAATATGGAAAAGGCAAATATGGATTCCACTACCACAAGCCTACACCATCCTCCTACTCTATGAAAATTGAGTCTCCATCCCGCACTCTGGAGGGTGAAGCTGAGTATTCTCCTTCAAGGTCAAGTTTCAAGTTCTATCCTGACAGTGACAAAAGTGAGGCCAAATATGAAATCACTGGAGAATCTTCACACAACTACTGGGATCAGGTATCGAAGTACGAAGGCCGATTGAGTCACCCAGGTATGTCCAAGGATATCAGAGTTAAGGTTGAACATTCATACAGTGGACAGACCATGCGAGGCTCACTAGAGCTGGACATCTTCCCCGACACAGAAGACAAAATTACAGGCACGCTAAAGTCAACCATGATCGCCAACAACACTGTCAGAAATGAAGCATCACTAACTACCAGGGTAAGTTTTAATCGCCAGTTGTCTCCAATAATAAGTATTTGTACTATAAATAATTGCATACTCCAGCATATTTTTTTTTAAATTACTGAAATATGATTTTTACAGATACTGAGAGTGCACCCCAAAGTCACCGTAATGGCAGCTTATTCTCAAAATACGACTGGCATTGATGTGCAGTTCCAGAAGTCTCCCTCTTCACCTGTATCCTTCCAAGTGTCGGCCCTGTACGACCGAATTTTCACTGGAGATGCAACAATGACTTTCCGTGTGATTAACGAGGAAGACGCTGTGGTGGACATAGCTGGTGTGATGGGGCCAGAAAAAGATCCTGAGTGTAACGGCGTCAACATCAAGGGTGTGGCTTACGCTTCTCCCCTCGGAAGTTATGATATTCACTCCAAACTTTGTAGATCATTTTTCTTCGAACTGATTACTAAGAAACAAGAAAGTCAAAAGGAATTCATAACGAAACTTGGCCTGCAATATCCGAACAGAGCTGAGATTAGCTTATCGGAAAGTAACCTGGATCAACCGTGGAGAAACGCAATAGCAATGGCCCGTGTCAAACTTCCCTCTCCTACTGTTGCTGAAGTTCACTTCGTTTACGAATCTGAAAATATGCACACGGTGAAGGTAATATCTATATATTCGTATATATATTGGAATTTTTAAGTCCTGATTTTAGATTTGCTTCAAAGTGTGTGTGAACTTGTTTTAATTTACAGCATTGTGTGTGTAATTGCAGGGCGCTTTGAAGGAAGACTGGGAGATAGTGATGGAGTCTGCTCACTCATGGGCTGACAGTGTGTCTAGATATCTGGAGGAACAAGCACAGCAACAAGGCACTACCTTCCCTAACCCAGAGATCGAAACACTTCTCGAAGAAGTCAAACATGATCTTAGGGAAATATATCATGATCTGATTTATAAAGAAATCATCCCACATTATGAGGCTTTCCGTGAATTCCTAAGGCGTCCGCCAGCTTCGTACGTTATACAATTTTCTTCAAGCATCCTCTCAGGTATAGCCAAGATACAGAGAGACCTAAGAAGTCGTCTTCTCCATGAGGTTCTAGCTTGGCAAGAAGAGTTTAAGGATATCAAAGAGTGCATAATTGACTGTAAGTTTATTTTCATTTAGTATATATTTAAGGATTTACTTAATTCATCATGAGATGATAGTCTAAAGCGAAACCATTTTTTACACATGAAATACGGGATATTATATCAACAGTTTTGGTGAAGGCTGCGCGTTGTGTGGAGACCGGTGAGATTCCAGAGCCAGTGCGTCGCCTACTGGAACAGCTGCAAGAAACTAGGATATTCAGAATGTTTAAGAGGGACGTCGACTCCTTTATTCGGCGATACCCGGAGAAGTACGAGGCCATTCAGGAGATGGTGGCCAAGGTCAAGGATACCCTCCAGGAAGATTTTGAGAAAATTCTCATTAGGAACTCAAAGATTCAAGTTGTTGAAAATACGATCGAGTGGATTCTTAAAGACCTCAGCAAAGTTAGTAGTATTTTGTAGTCATTACTTTAGCCAGATTTATGACTAATATGCAGTTTTAGAGGTGCTGAGACATTAAACAGATAAACTAAGTTCTTGTAGGTTAATTCATTCCTAAAAAAAGTATATAATTTAAACAGGTTCCATACAAGTCTCTGACATTTTGTGTACGCACAATCTGTTAATCAAATTATAAATCTTATTTTCTTTTATCCTTTCAGGAAAACATGATTGCCAATAAGGTGGAGGAGTATATTAGTGAAATCATTCAGGACGTTATCTGGGGTGTTGGTGTGGAAACAAATGAAAGCGAAATGAAATTCAAAATGCACTTACATGAGCCATTTTATTCTTTGATTCAATTTCTGAAGGAGGTTCGCTTAAATCCTGTCTATTACTTTGAAAAACTGGCCTTGGTTTATGACCGCCTCATTCCCTTGCCCGTCAACAATATAATCTGGGCATACTACACGTTGCTGCCCCGCCATATGACAGAGTTGCTGCCTCCTTACAACCGCACAGCCATGGTTGTCAGTGACACAGAGATCCTTACCTTTGATGGAGCTCTACTCCGTGCACCTCGTTCACCGTGTCAGGTTGTCTTGGCTGTATATGCCAACAACAAGCTTACCATGGCCCATCCACAACCATCAGCCCCACCACAGATCACCTTCTCTACTGGCTCCACTACCGTCACTGTTAAGCCAGACTTCCGTGTTAACGTTAACGGACAAGAGATAAACAGACAACGAACAACTACAGGTAATGTCTTTATTCAAAAAAAACCCCGAGAAGTCACTGTAACATCACCCTTCATGACAGTCCGAGTATTTCGCGAAGAACGTGTGGTATCCGTGAACGTAACTGGCTGGACCTACGGCCGCATTGCAGGTCTTCTGGGTACCTATGATGGTGAAATCGGTAACGACTGGTTTACACCATCGGGAAGGAACGCTTCCAGCCTCCAGGAACTGGTGTCATCTTGGCAAGAGGACAAACAGTGCCAGACTCCTCCCATTTCTCCTTTCAAGTATAACAATGTATTAACAGAAAAAGTTATTCACTGCAAGACACTACTGGGAATTTGCACCAAATGCATCCCAGTGGTTCCTCTAAAGTCCTTCATCAAAATATGTGAGGCTGCCAGCCATCCCTGCGATGTAGCTCAAGCCTACCGCGTAATTTGCTCCAACAATGCTGTAGAAGTGATGGTGCCCCTTAGCTGCTGACAGTCATGCAGTGCATGTTCAACAGTGACATGCCCATGATAATTGCATTAATTGTATTTAATAAGAGATTTTATTTCAGTTATAATCTTTGTGTATGGCAGTCAGACTTTCGCAAAGAATATAACACTTATTGTGTCATCCTTCATTTCTTTTTAATCACGCAAGTAGATCATCTCGAATGGAGGAAGAGTGTTATAACTAACTTATATACTGTATCTACTGCCTGGGTAGTAAATTCTAGAGATGTGACAACCTGATTTGGATTGCCACAACAAATATGACGAGCAGGAGGCAAAGCCCATATATGGGACCCTGTCGCTCTGATGGAAGAAATTCCCGAGTAGTATGAAATATAAATTTTATGTTGATGTAATAGTGGTGATGTTGATTGATCCTTTAACCTCAAGTTTATAGGTGAGACGAAATCTAAAATCGTGTCTGGAGTATTAGTTTCTTTCCCGTCTAGTGCAGTGTCGGTGCACTGGTGAATCTGTGTACAAACGCCATTTAATCATAGAAACTGATGACATCAGTTATGTAAAACAACCACAGTGAAAAACAGTCAAAAGATCCACTCAGTACTGTCGAGCAAACGTTTATCACCAGAGACTCAGAGAGTGAAGCAAAAGTTAGAGTACAAGTGTTGTGCGCCTAGCTGAAGAATGCGCCGCCTGACATACTTGATGTGTTTATAACGTTACAGGTTTATATGTCACTATGTTACTCAGTCTTCAGCTATGCATGCAACCCAATCTTTTTCTTTCATTTTTGTCTCACTCATTTAATTATGAACCTTTTGACTCTCTTCAGAGTGGATGTCCTACACACACACATACATACATACATACACACATACATACACACATACACACACACACTAACACACACACACACACACACACACACACACACACACACACACACACACACACACACACACACACACACACACACACACACACACACACACACACACATATATATATTCGTCGAATATGTAAAACTGGTCAATTAGCAAGAACTCATTTAAAATTAAGTCCTTCTAAAATTTTCTCTTATACGTTTAAAGATATATTTATTTCATTAATGTTAATGTAAAAATTTATAATTTTGCATCAAGAATCTTAGAAACTTACCTAACCTTATTATAACAAGAACAATTTAATTTATCCTAACCCAACTAAAATATATTTTTAGATTTGTTTACAGTAATTTAATACTAAACAAACACAATCAAATACATTTTTTTCGTTAGGTTCAGAATGATTTTGGCGAAATTATTGCATACACAAATTTTCACTTGTCCTATATGGCAAGATGAGCGTTGCTATTTAAGCCAAGATCGCAAGTTCTGACTATTAGGCACGACATTTAAAAATTATATATATATATATATATATATATATATATATATATAATTATTATATATACCTGAATATACGGAATAAATAAGATTGATTTATATGTGACCTTGCTTTCTCATTTTTTTCCATCCTCAACCCAGTTTGCTAAGCAACGTGTTATTACACAAGTGCTTATTAAAAGGAAGCATAACAGCTTTCCTTACTTCACTACACTCCACCATACTGACACATCACTACACTCCACCATACTGACACATCACTACACTCCACCATACTGACACATCACTACACTCCACCATACTGACACATCACTACACTCCACCATACTGACACAATCACTACACTTCACCATACTGACACATCACTACACTCCACCATACTGACACATCACTACACTCCACCATACTGACACATCACTACACTCCACCATACTGACACATCACTACACTCCACCATACTGACACATCACTACACTCCACCATACTGACTAACATCACTACACTCTCACCATACTGACACATCACTACACTCCACCATACTGACACATCACTACACTCCACCATACTGACACATCACTACACTCCACCATACTGACACATCACTACACTCCACCATACTGACACATCACTACACTCCACCATACTGACACATCACTACACTCCACCATACTGACACATCACTACACTCCACCATACTGACACATCACTACACTCCACCATACTGACACATCACTACACTCCACCATACTGACACATCACTACACTCCACCATACTGACACATCACTACACTCACCATACTGACACATCACTACACCTCCACCATACTGACACATCACTACACTCCACATACTGACACATCACTACACTCCACCATACTGACACATCACTACACTCCACCATACTGACACATCACTACACTCCACCATACTGACACATCACTACACTCACCATACTGACACATCACTACACTCCACCATACTGACACATCACTACACTCCACCATACTGACCCACACTACACTCCACCATATCTGACACATCACTACACTTCACCATACTGACACATCACTACACTCCACCATACTGACACATCACTACACTCCACCATACTGACACATCACTACACTCCACCATACTGACACATCACTACACTCCACCATACGACACATCATCTACACCACCATACTGACACATTCACTACACTCCACCATACGACCATCTCTGCACTCCACCAACTGACATCATCTACTCACATATTACACCACGAGTCATCACACTGCACCAAACGAGTATGTTCACAGCACCAGACGAGTCAGTTCTACAGCACCAGACGAGTCATGTTCTACAGCACCAGACGAGTCATGTTCTACAGCACCAGACGAGTCATGTTCTACAGCACCAGACGAGTCATGTTCTACAGCACCAGACGAGTCATGTTCTACAGCACCAGACGAGTCATGTTCTACAGCACCAGACGAGTCATGTTCTACAGCACCAGACAGTCATGTTCTACAGCACCAGACGAGTCATGTTCTACAGCACCAGACGAGTCATGTTCTACAGCACCAGACGAGTCATGTTCTACAGCACCAGACGAGTCATGTTCTACAGCACCAGACGAGTCATGTTCTACAGCACCAGACGAGTCATGTTCTACAGCACCAGACGAGTCATGTTCTACAGCCAGACGTCAGTTCTACAGCACCGACGAGTCATGTTCTACAGCAGCCAGACGAGTCATGTTCTACAGCACCAGACGAGTCATGTTCTACAGCACCAGACGAGTCATGTTCTACAGCACCAGACGAGTCATGTTCTACAGCACCAGACGAGTCATGTTCTACAGCACCAGACGAGTCATGTTCTACAGCACCAGACGAGTCATGTTCTACAGCACCAGACGAGTCATGTTCTACAGCACCAAGACGAGTCATGTTCTAACAGCACCAGACGAGTCATGTTCTACAGCACCAGACGAGTCATGTTCTACAGCACCAGACGAGTCATGTTTACGACAGACGAGTCATGCTACAGCCAACGAGTCATGTTCTACAGCACCAGACGAGTCATGTTCTACAGCACCAGACGAGTCATGTTCTACAGCACCAGACGAGTCATGTTCTACAGCACCAGACGAGTCATGTTCTACAGCACCAGACGAGTCATGTTCTACAGCACCAGACGAGTCATGTTCTACAAGCACCAGACGAGTCATGTTCTACAGCACCAGACGAGTCATGTTCTACAGCACCAGACGAGTCATGTTCTAACACAGCCAGACGAGTCATGTTCTACAGCACCAGACGAGTCATGTTCTACAGCACCAGACGAGTCATGTTCTACAGCACCGACGCATGTTCTCAGCACCAGACGAGTCATGTTCTACAGCACCAGACGAGTCATGTTCTACAGCACCAGACGAGTCATGTTCTACAGCACCAGACGAGTCATGTTCTACAGCACCAGACGAGTCATGTTCTACAGCACCAGACGAGTCATGTTCTACAGCACCAGACGAGTCATGTTCTACAGCACCAGACGAGTCATGTTCTACAAGCTACCACAGACGAGTCATGTTCTACAGCACCAGACGAGTCATGTTCTACAGCACCAGACGAGTCATGTTCTACAGCACCAGACGAGTCATGTTCTACAGCACCAGACGAGTCATGTTCTACAGCACCAGACGAGTCATGTTCTACAGCACCAGACGAGTCATGTTCTACAGCACCAGACGAGTCATGTTCTACAGCACCAGACGAGTCATGTTCTACAGCACCAGACGAGTCATGTTCTACAGACCAGACAGTCATCACAGCACCAGACGAGTCATGTTCTACAGCACCAGACGAGTCATGTTCTACAGCACCAGACGAGTCATGTTCTACAGCACCAGACGAGTCATGTTCTACAGCACCAGACGAGTCATGTTCTACAGCACCAGACGAGTCATGTTCTACAGCACCAGACGAGTCATGTTCTACAGCACCAGACGAGTCATGTTCTACAGCACCAGACGAGTCATGTTCTACAGCACCAGACGAGTCATGTTCTACAGCACCAGACGAGTCATGTTCTACAGCACCAGACGAGTCATGTTCTACAGCACCAGACGAGTCATGTTCTACAGCACCAGACGAGTCATGTTCTACAGCCCAGACGAGTCATGTTCTACAGCACCAGACGAGTCATGTTCTACAGCACCAGACGAGTCATGTTCTACAGCACCAGACGAGTCATGTTCTACAGCACCAGACGAGTCATGTTCTACAGCACCAGACGAGTCATGTTCTACAGCACCAGACGAGTCGTTCTACACCACATCAGTTCTACAGCACCAGACGAGTCATGTTCTACAGCACCAGACGAGTCATGTTCTACAGCACCAGACGAGTCATGTTCTACAGCCCAACAGTCAGTTCACACACCACGTCAGTCACAGCACCAGACGAGTCATGTTCTACAGCACCAGACGAGTCATGTTCTACAGCACCAGACGAGTCATGTTCTACAGCACCAGACGAGTCATGTTCTACAGCACCAGACGAGTCATGTTCTACAGCACCAGACGAGTCATGTTCTACAGCACCAGACGAGTCATGTTTCACTACAAGTACAGCCCAGACGAGTCATGTTCTACAGCACCAGACGAGTCATGTTCTACAGCACCAGACGAGTCATGTTCTACAGCACCAGACGAGTCATGTTCTACAGCACCAGACGAGTCATGTTCTACAGCACCAGACGAGTCATCTACAGCACCAGACGAGTCATGTTCTACAGCACCAGACGAGTCATGTTCTACAGCACCAGACGAGTCATGTTCTACAGCACCAGACGAGTCATGTTCTACAGCACCAGACGAGTCATGTTCTACAGCACCAGACGTCATGTTCTACAGCACCAGACGAGTCATGTTCTACAGCACCAGACGAGTCATGTTCTACAGCACCAGACGAGTCATGTTCTACAGCACCAGACGAGTCATGTTCTACAGCACCAGACGAGTCATGTTCTACAGCACCAGACGAGTCATGTTCTACAGCACCAGACGAGTCATGTTCTACAGCACCAGACGAGTCATGTTCTACAGCACCAGACGAGTCATGTTCTACAGCACCAGACGAGTCATGTTCTACAGCACCAGACGAGTCATGTTCTACAGCACCAGACGAGTCATGTTCGACAAGGCATACCACCAGACGAGTCATGTTCTACAGCACCAGACGAGTCATGTTCTACAGCACCAGACGAGTCATGTTCTACAGCACCAGACGAGTCATGTTCTACAGCACCAGACGAGTCATGTTCTACAGCACCAGACGAGTCATGTTCTACAGCACCAGACGAGTCATGTTCTACAGCACCAGACGAGTCATGTTCTACAGCACCAGACGAGTCATGTTCTACAGCACCAGACGAGTCATGTTCTACAGCACCAGACGAGTCATGTTCTACAGCACCAGACGAGTCATGTTCTACCAGCACCAGACGAGTCATGTTCTACAGCACCAGACGAGTCATGTTCTACAGCACCAGACGAGTCATGTTCTACAGCACCAGACGAGTCATGTTCTACAGCACCAGACGAGTCATGTTCTACAGCACCAGACGAGTCATGTTCTACAGCACCAGACGAGTCATGTTCTACAGCACCAGACGAGTCATGTTCTACAGCACCAGACGAGTCATGTTCTACAGCACCAGACGAGTCATGTTCTACAGCACCAGACGAGTCATGTTCTACAGCACCAGACGAGTCATGTTCTACATGCACCAGACGAGTCATGTTCTACAGCACCAGACGAGTCATGTTCTACAGCACCAGACGAGTCATGTTCTACAGCACCAGACGAGTCATGTTCTACAGCACCAGACGAGTCATGTTCTACAGCACCAGACGAGTCATGTTCTACAGCACCAGACGAGTCATGTTCTACAGCACCAGACGAGTCATGTTCTACAGCACCAGACGAGTCATGTTCTACAGCACCAGACGAGTCATGTTCTACAGCACCAGACGAGTCATGTTCTACAGCACCAGACGAGTCATGTTCTACAGCGCCAGACGAGTCATGTTCTACAGCACCAGACGAGTCATGTTCTACAGCGCCAGACGAGTCATGTTCTACAGCACCAGACGAGTCATGTTCTACAGCGCCAGACGAGTCATGTTCTACAGCACCAGACGAGTCATGTTCTACAGCGCCAGACGAGTCATGTTCTACAGCACCAGACGAGTCATGTTCTACAGCACCAGACGAGTCATGTTCTACAGCACCAGACGAGTCATGTTCTACAGCCCAGACGAGTCATGTTCTACAGCACCAGACGAGTCATGTTCTACAGCACCAGACGAGTCATGTTCTACAGCCCAGACGAGTCATGTTCTACAGCACCAGACGAGTCATGTTCTACAGCGACCAGACGAGTCATGTTCTACAGCACCAGACGAGTCATGTTCTACAGCACCAGACGAGTCATGTTCTACAGCCCAGACGAGTCATGTTCTACAGCACCAGACGAGTCATGTTCTACAGCACCAGACGAGTCATGTTCTACAGCCCAGACGAGTCATGTTCTACAGCCCAGACGAGTCATGTTCTACAGCACCAGACGATCATGTTCTACAGCACCAGACGAGTCATGTTCTACAGCACCAGACGAGTCATGTTCTACAGCACCAGACGAGTCATGTTCTACAGCACCAGACGAGTCATGTTCTACAGCGCCAGACGAGTCATGTTCTACAGCACCAGACGAGTCATGTTCTACAGCACCAGACGAGTCATGTTTCTACAGCACCAGACGAGTCATGTTCTACAGCCCAGACGAGTCATGTTCTACAGCACCAGACAGTCATGTTCTAACAGCAGCCAGACGAGTCATGTTCTACAGCACCAGAAAGAGTCATGTCTACAGCACCAGACGAGTCATGTTCTACAGCACCAGACGAGTCATGTTCTACAGCACCAGACGAGTCATGTTCTACAGCACCAGACGAGTCATGTTCTACAGCCCAGACGAGTCATGTTCAACATGCACCAGACAGTCATGGTTCTACAGCACCAGAGAGTTCATTTCTATACACCAGACGACATGTTTACAGCAACGAGTCTGTTCTACAGCACACAGACATCATTCTAACACACAGACAGTCATGTTCTAAACACAACATATGTTCAACACTAACAGCATCATGTTTAAGCACATGACTTTATTCACTGGTTCCTCTACACACCAACATATCTATCTACATCAAGAACGATCTGTTACTAACACATAGTCATGGCTACATCCTCTGAACAGATCATTCTACTAAGATTGACTCAACTTACTATATTACAAATAAAATTTTATATTTTCACAACACATACATTTACACGAGCTGTAACACAATCAACCATAAGCAGTGACACACATCAACAACAACATCATCAATCCAGCCTAGATCCTCTTAATTTGTTGAGTCATTTTTTTCAGGTTCCTCCACTCACACTATGCGTTATCTATCTCCCAAGAAATCTTGTAAACACTGATTCATGTTCACAGTTGTATATTTGTACTATCCTCAGCTTGACAGGGTGTGACAGCCTAAAGATAAGTCTGAACCACTATGGAACAAAGTTTACTCTACAGTACAGACTAATTCATGAACCCAGTTGCTAGTTTCAAAACTCGCTAATTTTTATAGGTTAAAATTTAGTAGATCATAATAATGTGCTTAATACAAATGGATCAACTAATTTTGTATTTCAGCCTAGTGATGTTACCTCAATTCATATGTATCCGTTAATGTAGAGTGATTTATCTAAGTATAATAGTGAGGAATTTATGTTGAAGTGTGGTGAAAATCATACTAAGTGCACTGGTGTCGGTGACTCACTAGGTGCTGTGGTGTCTCACTAGGTTGGAGGTAAATATATTAGAGGTATCTGAAGGTGTGTGGAGATCTCTGAACAGAAGTGGAAGCTACTAGGTGAAGTTAGGCGAGACGTGGAGGACAGGAGGACCTAAGTGGTGAGACGTTGAGGCAGGGAGGACCTAAGTGGCGAGACGTGGAGGAAGGGAGGACCTAAGTAGATAGTAGATACACCGGTATAATCGCCCGGCCCAGCTTTTTCCAAGAGGTGGCCCGGCCTTGGCTCCTTGTTGTGGGAGTGTCTCAGACTAATGTCTGCCATGGGAGGAGGTACAAGTACCTCGTCGTCTTCTGAGACCAGTGCTGGTGGTGGCACCGCTATGATCTTATTAGCACTACTCATCCTCTTCTTGGTGACAGATACTGGCGCAGGTGAGTAACTAGGTGCTGGTGTGGGTGAATCTCACTAGGTGTTGGTGTGGGTGAATCTCACAAAGTGCTGGTGTGGGTGAATCTCACTAGGTGCTGGTGTGGGTGAATCTCACTAGGNTTGCTGGTGTGGGTAAATCTCACTAGGTGCTGCTGTGGGTGAATCTCACTAGATGCTGTTGTGGGTGAATCTCACTAGGCGCTGGTGTGGATGAATCTCACTAGGTGCTGGTGTAGGTAAATCTCACTAGGCGCTGGTGTGGGTGAATCTCACTAGGTACTGGTGTGGGTGAATCTCACTAGGTACTGGTGTGGGTGAATCTCACTAGGTGCTGGTGTGGGTGAATCTCACTAGGTGATGGTGTGGGTGAATCTCACTAGGTGCTGCTGTGGGTGTCTCACTAGGTGTTGGCGCAGGTGAATCACTAGGTGCTAGCGCAGAATCTAGGTGCTGGCGTAGGTGAATCTAGGTGCTGGCGCAGGTGAATCTCACTAGGTGCTGGTGTGAGTGAGCCTCACTCTGTTTATCCATATGTGTTGCAATTGAGCTAGAAGTACAGGAGGACACTACAGGTTCAGACCGCTAGGTGAAGGAATCTGTTCAACAGTTTGTGAGGCTGTATGACGAATTATTTGGGGATGTCTCCCTTCTTGCTGGAGATTAAATTGAGAGAATGAAAGGTGTTAATAAGGCCTTTAACCCCATTCATTGTGCTTATATCTCATCTGTCTGTTTTTCACAATCATCTTTCTTTCCTCGTATTTAATGTGGCGCAGTTAACGCCGACGGTGCTGACTCCAGGCCACTTGAGTGCATGACACGTCAACCCCAACTGATGCTAACATATGCCAGGTTTATAATAAGATGTATGATCTAAGAACACCAGTATACGTTGTTTTCTTTGACTTCCAGCTATGATTGTTCTGTGTTGTCAGAAGTGATGAGGCGCTAACCGTTGGTGTTAGGTTTCATGTAATCTCTCACCCATGTTGCCCCTCTTTCCCCTAACCTTAACTTACCGCGCCTTTGCTACTAACTGACTCTGCAACTGTTAGAGGAAAGAATGGCGATTAGTTGCAAACGTTGACGCCCATATTTCGAGGCCAAGTCATTCGTGCGTTTTAGGATTCATTGGGCATCACCTTTTCCCTTCCACTACTTTTGTTGGTACTAGTGGTTCTTCAAGACCCAAGGTTACCCCTACAATGCTCCTAGGTATCATCAGCTGGCATGGATAAGAGGCTCTCGATACCTAGATATTTAGCCCTTAACATTAATAAGCTATGGGAGATGCAACAGCGCGAGGGTGCTATAGTAATAAAATGACTTTTCAGGAGATACTACTCAAAACAAACTTCCTCTGAATACTGGGACAGAGTCAAGAAAGATATTTGTTGAATAGTCAAGACACTACACATAAGTGACCTGCTGAACAATACCTGTTTGTTGGTGGATTAATATAAAATTAGAGGAAGACTGGAACCATGAAATTTTCGTCACACCTGGTAGCTGTGTTTTTAAGTAGTCTCAGGAAAGATTAGTTTATTTGTCTTGTGGCATTGTTATCATATATTAGAAGAGCTTGAATCTATTAGATTGCTGCTAACCAAGAGAAACCTCTTCACTATTATCACTGGATGCTTCAGAATCATTATTTTAAGATGGGTAATTATAAATCTTTAAAATCAAGAGAATAGTTAACTTCTTGACATGAATTGCCTTCTACCTAATTTGAAAAATACTTCTTACACACACACACAAAAGCGCACACACACACACACACACACCAACAGGGTATATACCAACAGGTGCTGGATGACATACAAACAACGGAGAAGGTGCAGAAACTACTAAGTGACCTCGATACCTCAAAGGCGAGGGGTCCGGACAACATCTCCCCGTGGGTCTTCAGAGAAGGAACAGAGATGATGTGCGTGCCATTAACCACAATCTCCAATACATCCCTTGAAACTGGGCAAATACCTGAGGTATGGAAGACGGCAAATGTAGTCCCCATTTTTAAGAAAGGAGACAGAAACGAGGCACTAAACTACAGACCAGTGACTCTGACATGTATAGTATGCAAAGTCATGGAGAAGATTATCAGGAGGAGAGTGGTGGAGCACCTGGAACGGAACAAGATTATAAACAACAACCAGCACGGATTCATGTGTCACAAACCTCTGAAGTTTTATGACAAGGTAACAGAACTGACTAAGAGGAGGAGGGGATGGGTATGCATTGTTACCTGGACGCAGAAGGTCTTCGACAAAAGCTCCTTACGAGGCTTAGTGCCCGAAGCTGGAGGGATCAGGTCGGCGTATAACAGGAAGGGGCACTTCAATGAGATCAAAAGAATACTGACAGGGGAGAGGGCAACACGACATGGTACGTGATGAGGTATCACAGTGGGCACCTGTGACGAGCGGGGTCCCACAGGGGTCAGTCCTAGGACCAGTGCTATTTTTGATATATGTGAATGACATGATGGAAGGGATAGACTGAAGTGTCCCTGTTCGCAGATGATGTGAAGCTAATGAGAAGGATTAAATCGGATGAGGATCAGGCAGGACTACAAAGAGACCTGGACAGGCTGGACACGTGGTCCAGCAAATGGCTTTTCGAATTCAACCCTGCCAAATGCAAAGTCATGAAGATTGGGGAAAGGCAAAGAAGACCGCAGACAGAGTATAGGCTAGGTGGACAAAGGCTGCAAACCTCACTCAAGGAGAAAGATCTTGGGGTGACCATAACACCGAGCACGTCTCCGGTGGCACGCATCAACTAGGTAACTGCTGCAGCATATGGGCGCCTGGCAAACCTGAGAATAGCGTTCCGATACCTTAGTAAGGAATCGTTCAAGTCACTGTACATTGTGTACGTCAGGCCCATACTGGAGTATGCAGCACCAGTTTGGAACCCACACCTGGTAAAGCACGTCAAGAAATTAGAAAAAGTACAAAGGTTCGCAACAAGGCTAGTTCCGGAGCTCAAGGGAATGTCCTACGAAGAAAGGTTAAGGGAAATCGGACTGACGACACTGGAGGACAGGAGGGTCAGGGGAGACATGATAACAACATACAAAATAATGCATGGAATAGACAAGGTGGACAGAGACAGGATGTTCCGGAGAGGGGACACAACAACAAGGGGTTACAATTGGAAGCTGAAGACTCACACGAGTCACAGGGATGTTAGAAAGTACTTCAGTCACAGAGTCGTCAGAAGTGGAATAGCCTAGCAAGTGATGTAGTGGAGGCAGGAACCATACATAGCTTAAGACGAGGTATGACAAAGCTCAGGAAGCAGAAAGAGAGAGGACCTAGTAGCGATCAGTGAAGAGGCGGGGCCAGGAGCTGAGTCTCGACCCGACCCTTGCAACCACAATTTGGTGAGTACAATTAGGTGAGGACACACACAAACACACACACACACACATAGTATATATATATATATATATATATATATATATATATATATATATATATATATATATATATATATATATATATATATATTATATATATATAATATATATATATATATATATATATATATATATATATATATATATATATATATATATATTTACTATTATTATTTTTTTTTATCACTGGCCGATTCCCACCAAGGCAGGTGGCCCGAAAAAGAAAAACTTTCACCATCATTCACTCCATCACTGTCTTGCCAGAAGGGTGCTTTACACTACAGTTTTTTAAACTGCAACATTAACACCCCTCCTTCAGAGTGCAGGCACTGTACTTCCCATCTCCAGGACTCGAGTCCGGCCTGCCGGTTTCCCTGAACCCCTTCATAAATGTTACTTTGCTCACAGTCCAACAGCACGTCAAGTATTAAAAACCATTTGTCTCCATTCACTCCTATCAAACACGCTCACGCATGCCTGCTGGAAATCCAAGCCCCTCGCACACAAAACCTCCTTTACCCCCTCCCTCCAACCTTTCCTAGGCCGACCCCTACCCCGCCTTCCTTCCACTACAGACTGATACACTCTTGAAGTCACTCTGTTTCGCTCCATTCTCTCTACATGTCCGAACCACCTCAACAACCCTTCCTCAGCCCTCTGGACAACAGTTTTGGTAATCCCGCACCTCCTCCTAACTTCCAAACTACGAATTCTCTGCATTATATTCACACCACACATTGCTCTCAGACATGACATCTCCACTGCCTCCAGCCTTCTCCTCGCTGCAACATTCATCACCCATGCTTCACACCCATATAAGAGCGTTGGTAAAACTATACCTCATACATTCCCCTCTTTGCCTCCAAGGACAAAGTTCTTTGTCTCCACAGACTCCTAAGTGCACCACTCACCCTTTTCCCCTCATCAATTCTATGATTCACCTCATCTTTCATAGACCCATCCGCTGACACGTCCAGTCCCAAATATATGAATACATTCACCTCCTCCATACTCTCTCCCTCCAATCTGATATCCAATCTTTCATCACCTAATCTTTTTATCCTCATAACCTTACTCTTTCCTGTATTCACTTTTAATTTTCTTCTTTTGCACACCCTACCAAATTCATCCACCAATCTCTGCAGCTTCTCTTCAGAATCTCCCAAGAGCACGGTGTCATCAGCAAAGAGCAACTGTGACAACTCCCACTTTATGTGTGATTCTTTATCTTTTAACTCCACGCCTCTTACCAAGACACTCGCATTTACTTCTCTTACAACCCCATCTATAAATATATTAAACAACCACGGTGACATCACACATCCTTGTCTAAGGCCTACTTTTACTGGGAAATAATTTCGCTCTTTTCTTCATACTCTAACTTGAGCCTCACTATCCTCGTAAAAACTCTTCACTGCTTTCAGTAACCTACCTCCTACACCATACACATGCAACATCTGCCACATTGCCCCCCTATCAACCCTGTCATACGCCTTTTCCAAATCCATAAATGCCACAAAGACCTCTTTAGCCTTATCTAAATACTGTTCACTTATATGTTTCACTGTAAACACCTGGTCCACACACCCCCTACCTTTCCTAAAGCCTCCTTGTTCATCTGCTATCCTATTCTCCGTCTTACTCTTAATTCTTTCAATAATAACTCTACCATACACTTTACCAGGTATACTCAACAAACTTATCCCCCTATAATTTTTGCACTCTCTTTTGTCCCCTTTGCCTTTATACAAAGGAACTATGCATGCTCTCTGCCAGTCCCTAGGTACCTTACCCTCTTCCATACATTTATTAAATAATTGCACCAACCACTCCAAAACTATATCCCCACCTATTTTTAACATTTCTATCTTTATCCCATCAATCCCGGCTGCCTTACCCCCTTTCATTTTTACCTACTGCCTCACGAACTTCCCCCACACTCACAACTGGCTCTTCCTCACTCCTACAAGATGTTATTCCTCCTTGCTCTATATACGAAATCACAGCTTCCCTATCTTCATCAACATTTAACAATTCCTCAAAATATTCCCTCCATCTTCCCAATACCTCTAACTCTCCATTTAATAACTCTCCTCTCCTATTTTTAACTGACAAATCCATTTGTTCTCTAGGCTTCCTTAACTTGTTAATCTCACTCCAAAACTTTTTCTTATTTTCAACAAAATTTGTTGATAACATCTCACCCACTCTCTCATTTGCTCTCTTTTTACATTGCTTCACCACTCTCTTAACCGAATATGTATAACTGGTCAATTAGCAAGAACTCATTTAAAATTAAGTCCTTTCTGAAATTTTCTCTTTTACGTTTAAAGATATATTTTTTTCATTAATGTTGATGTAAAAATTTATAATTTTGCACCAAAAGAATCTTAGAAAACTTACCTAACCTTATTATAACAAGAACAATTTATTTTAGCCTAACCCAACTAAATATATTTTAGATTTGTTTACAATAATTTAATACTAAATAAACACAGTGAAATATATTTTTTTCGTTAGGTTCAGAATGATTTTGGCGAAATTATTGCATACACAAATTTTCGCTTGTCCTATATGGCAAGATGAGCGTTGCTATTTAAGCCAAGATCGCAAGTTCTGCTTATTCGGCACGATATATATATATATATATATATATATATATATATATATATAATATATAATATATAATATATATATATATATATATTATATTTTATATTTTATATTTTATTCGCCGGTATTCTCCCGGCCCGGTCTTTTCCAAGTAGTGGTGACCCGGCCTTGGCTCCCTATCTGGGGAGTGTCTCGAGACCTAAGTCTCCCATGGGAGGAGGTACAAGTACCTCCTCATCTTTGGGACCAAGTGTCCCCAGGCCTAGCCACATTCTCCGCCCTCAAGGGGCTCGTAGGGAGAAGCTAGGCCTCTGGTCTGCCATCTACCCCGCCTCAAAGGGGCTCGTGGGGATGGCAGTCTTATGAGCTGCAGATGGTAGCAAGCTCAGTATATATATATATATATATATATATATATATATATATATATATATAATATATATATATATATATATATATATATATATATATATATATATATTATTGATAAATTTATTTATTCTTTCAGTGCCGTTTGAAGATGCTACAGCTTTATGCTCCACGGAATGTCCGATCACCGGTTCCCCCAAACTCTTCTATCATCCAGGAAAGACCTACACCTACGAGTACTTCATGAAATCTCTGATCCAACTGAAAAGTGTGGAAAGTGGAATGTCAGTGACGGATTGGTCCACGCAAGTTGAACTCTCATGGAGAAGTCCTTGTGACATGGTCATCACTTTGAAGGACTCCGAGATACATGGTGGCAATGGTGAGTCTAATGTTCACACACTTACAAGCACATAGTAGTTATACATAACATTCCAGCAGGAATTTAGTTCATGTCCAGCCTGACCTGTTGTTTTCACTAGATGTCCTAACTACGAGTACACTCAAACCAAAGACCATATATATATATATATATATATATATATATATATATATATATATATATATATATATATATATATATATATATATAAATATATATATATATATATATATATATATATATATATATAAATATATATATATATATATAAAATATATATATATATATATAAATATATATATATATATAAATATATATATATATATATAAATATATATATATATATATATATATATATATATATATATATATATATATATATATATAAATAATATATATATATATATATATATATATATATATATATATATATATATATATATATATATATATATTATATATATATATATAGAAGGTGAAGCACAGGCACAGAGTCTGAATAGCAATGGCTGGATGATCGAGCCCAGAAGCTGAATCCCAGCACTTTAGATGTATGATCTGGAACTTTAAACTCTCCATCAGATGAACTGTAGCCTTCTGTCCCAGTAAACAGGTTCAGAAGCTACAGACTCAACCTAGGATAGGTTAGTAATTGAATAAGTGAACGGAACGTCGGTTTATAGCAACGCTGCAACACACGTTGCAAACACGTACTGAACCAAGGTTTGCAACGTTACAAACTGACCTAAAGAAAAGACTCACTTTTTATAAGTCTTTATAGGACCAGTGTTTCGAACTGTTTAGACCTTTATCAAGATATGATAAAGATCCAAACATAGTGGATCCCTGCTTAGTGGAGCACAACACAGCGTATGTGGCATAGCACTCCAGCACTTTGCTGCTAATTACCGGCTCTATACAAAGAATCGGAACTGTCCTCTGCTTCGAATTTAGACCTGATTACTCCACCTCCACCCCTCCCATTCCACAGCTAATGCAGCAGTTAGGCAAGTTTTTCGCATTCCCATAATAATAATAAATATAAATAATTTAAAAATCATTACTGGTGCCCTCCCAGTCCCAGACGCTGCCAGGTTCCTGGAGAGGTACCCACTGGTGGTGGCTGTGGTCGACGGCAGAGTTCAGCATGTGTGTAGTCATCCTGACGACGACACCTGGTCCGTCAATATTAAGAAGGGCGTCGCCTCAGCCTTCCAGAACTCACTCCCTTCTATTTCTACCGTCAATTCAGGACAAAGTATTACTGAGGTGTAAAATATTTCCTAACTTTGCTTATAAATATTTAGTGCTATTTATGTTGCCTAACAAATACATAAAAACATATCAGGGTTATATTTTTATATAGACACACCACCATAACCAATATGGAATATATTTATCTCATGTAACCAATGATGCAGTCACATATAATTTCATAATAATTGTCTATTATGTATAGCTAATATTTTAAATCTTTCGTTTAAGGTATCATTTCCAGGCAATAAAACTATTATTAACTTATTACTGACAAAAAACAGTCACATTTTTCCTGTCTCAACAGACGGACGTGGTAGGAAAGTGTCTAACGAGATACGAGGTATATAATGAGAGAAACAGAGTTATTGTGAAGAAAGAGAAGAATCATCGCCTATGCAAGGAACGTTACTTCACCCCTACTGAGACTCAGGTGCCCTGGCTCAGAGGTCCTTTGCCACTGGAAGTGTCAGAATCTTCGTGTATACAAGAGATTAGGCATGGAATCTACTCCGCCATCATATGTAAGGATAGGAACGTGGTCCGGCCAAGTTACGGGGCCTATAAATATGTTGAGGCCAAACAGGAGTCGGCCCTCAGATATCTCTCAGAATCCAGTGAAGAATCAGCTGCCGACTTTACAGTATCTCTAGGTAACATGGTCCGGAAGAGCCTCTTGTACAGTTATGATACACCTAAGAAGGACCCGTCCATGGTAACTCAGTTGGATCAGATTATCACCCAGATCTGTGAGAAAATTAAGGATGTTGTTGAACGTGATGTTGCTGCTTTGGTGGCCAGGGCTGTTCAGCTCCTACGATGGGTGCCTCAGGAAACCGTGGAACAAACTTTAGTCAAAATTCGCAGAGGGCAATACTGTCAAGACCACAAAAAACTCGAGAACTTATATCTAGATGCTGTTGCTTGTGTCCAAGAGTCTGGTGCAATAAAAGTTATGATGATGGAGCTGGTGAGAGGACAGGTCCCAGAAGGACGTGCTGCTCTCTACACTGCTGCTCTTTATCTTCATTTGCGTCCTACCTGGAGTGACATTGAAGCTCTCGTGCCCATATTTGAATCCCCTCGACCTGTGTCCTCTGTGATTCTGGCAGCAGCTTCTGTGGTCAATGCATATTGTCGTCGCCATTCCCAGTGTCATAATGAAGCGTTAGTTAGGACCATTGCCGGAGCACTGAATAATAAAATTTTAAATCAGTGTTCCCTTTTAAGTGAAAAAAAAGAACAAGAGGCAGCACTCTTAACACTGAAGACCATCGGCAACATGGGCGTGATGACTCCCACAGTGGCTACGTCTCTTATAAGATGCATGAAGATTGAAGGAGTTCTAACTAGTGTCCGAGTAGCTGCAGCTCAAGCTTTTAGGCAAGCACAGTGCAAACAATCAGTAAGTATTAGTATTGATCATGACCCTAAAATTAGTGAAAGAGGATGCACATAAGTGGTGATGATGGTATATACGTCAAAAAAAAAAAAAAAAAAACACCGTGTCTCCTGACACGAGTCTCAAACAGATGATGGCAGGGTCACCACGATACAAGTTATCATTTACATAATTGCTGGGAAAGTTCCTTATTAATTTTAATTTTCTGTGTTTCTTCAGATTACAAACCAGCTCCTTCGTATTGCGGTTGATCCAACTGGAAACACAGAGGTTCGCATTGCCTCGTACCTCACGGTGATTCGTTGTGTAAAGCAACATGAAATGGAGATGATCATTAATAATATCACGGGACAAGAAAACACGCAAGGTAATGTTTCATTGTGATCAGTAAACAAGTGTCAGATGACTGTCAAAAGTCTACGAGTAAAAGATGTTCCACAAACTGATGATATTTTTTATGATTCACAAGCTTATCGATTTCCTAAAGAAATTGACTACAGATTGTGATAGGTTTTTTAACTCAGTTTGATTGGATGTAACTCTTAGTACTAGAAAAATCTAGCCACATATAATAATAATAACAATAATAGTCTTTATTTGTATGCATAATAACATAATTACAAAAAACTTCAAACATCTTTTTCAAAACATTTTTTTTTTTTGTATTTTAGAAGCATAAGTCGATAATTTTAAAACGTAAATAATTAAAAAATATAAAAAAGTATTAGTAACAAAGTATTCTTATATTTCAGTTCGTGGTTTCATACTGAGTCACCTGGTGAACCTCCAAGACACCAACACACCACACAAGGAACACCTCCGTCACATGCTGACGAACATTCTCCTTCCCAGAGATTTTGAGACAGACATCAGGAAATATTCTCACAACATAGACCTGTCTTACTTCTTCCCATCTCTGGACATTGGTGCCGGCGTAGAATCCAACATCATCTACGCCCCGGGATCCTTTGTTCCTCGGTCTATTGACTTTAACCTCACAGTAGCATCAGGAGGAGCCCTTGTGAATATAGGCGAAGTTGGTGTACGAATTGAAGGTCTAAGACCAATTATTGATAAGCTAATAGGACCAGGAGGTTACCTAAGAAGGACTAGTTTGAGTAATATTTTTCGTTACATTTTGATGTTCCTTGAAAAACAGCTTAAAGAGATCATTGATAATTTCCAGGATATTACAAGGCAAAAAAGGACTACTGATATGTCTTTAATATACGATTTTTTCACTGACATAAATTATTATGGCAGAGATGGTGGTGTCCGCGCTGACATATTTGCTCGCTATATGGGTCAAGAAATAAGTTTTGCTTCTTTGTCTGGAAACTTGGAAGATATAGCTGCAATTAGAATAGGCAGGACTGTCGGCTCGTTTATTGCAGAGATTCTTCTCCAGATGAAAAATGTGAAGACTAACAATGCAAGAACAGCCGGGTTGCACCTAGAATATAGTATCACTACCATCCAAGGTACACCTTTAAAATTAAAATTTGAAGGAACTGCCATTGTCGGACTCGAGTTGGAAGGAAATCTAAATCTAATTGATTTATTTATGAACTCGAAAAGGGAAGAGAACACCACAATCACCCCAAGCCTGTCTATACAAATAGACGGCTTTATTGGCTTCGATAATTACCTCACTACGACAGGAATGAAAACGGTCAACACCGTCTCAAGTAGCAACTGTCTCTCTCTCAATGCCCAGGCTAAGGACAACGAGGTGAAAATTTTGTGGGCTCTTCCTGAAAAGATGGAATTTATTGATGTGAAGAGCGAGACATACCTTATGAAGACTGCGAGAGGCAGCCCAGAAACTAAGATCATCCCAGCTTCCATGAGAGATATTAGAGTCAGTATTCACTCATGTATCAACAGTTTTGAACCTGTGTTAGGTCTTAAGCTCTGTTATGATTTGGACATCCCAGATATCTTCCGCAGCAGCTCTCTACCACTCGGGGCTCCAAGTACAGCTAGAATATATATTGAAAAATCAGAGCCCTCAATAACAGGCTATAATATCACTGCTCATGTTAAGAAACTGGAAAGTTCCGAATATATTCTGATGAAAATTTATACTTGCGGCTCCTCTAAACCGACAAAAACCGAAGCGATTTTCTCATTTTCTAGAGTAGAGAAGTCTTTCTTAACCTCAGTCACATTTGACTCTCTCGAGGTGAGTGGTGGAGTCTATACCATTATTAACACCAGTGAAGATTACAAGGGCGTCCAGGTGTTCGCAGATTACAGGTCTAACGAAAATATATTATCCCGGGGATTTAAAGCAGATTTCAGGACCACGTCATCACTAAATGATTCTGAATACGAAGCAAATGTCTTTATCAGCACACTGAGGGATTTTCCTCTTACCTCAAGAGTCATAGAGATGAAACTCACTAAGAAAATCAGCCTCCCTGATACTGCTCTGGATTTGCTCTGTGGGACAAGAAATGTTTTACGAAATTATTTTGACTTTAATTTTGAAGGTAATCTTTCTTCGTGGATTTTTGTTTGCACTAATTACAACTGAAAACGAATTCTGTAGTTGTAAGGCAATTATGGATTTATAATGCAATTTAACTTAATTTTGATATGTTAATTCTATTTGGCTTTCTCTTCAGCCAGTGGAGATTTAAGGTACACCTCACAGTCCAGCTTGCCTTTGCCATTGAAACTGCGCAAACTTGACTTCCACACGGGCCTGGGAGGCTGGCAGCTCGACTCCATCATTCGTCAGACCAGAGAGTCAGGAGAGAACGCTGAACACTTATCTACCTTCAATGTGAAGCGATGGGAAGAGAACCTGATTTTTGTTGAGGCTACCCACACTACACAAGGATCACTTTACGATAACTTTATCATTAGAACTGCAGCACTAAGTAAGTAGTTATACATTAATTACCGTTCCGTACTTGAGAAATACCAGAAATCATCTAGAGAACAGAAAACAGAAGTTGAAATTTTCAAGGATATGACAGTGCCAATGATTATTAATGATCTGTAAATTATGAGGTAATAGTTTTAATTTGTAATTACAAATCTTAGTGATTGGCCACGGCACAAAATAAATATGGGTACAGTATATACACATAGTGACAGCGCTGAATGACCTAAAATGTTAAAGCTCTCTTTAAACTTCAAAACCCCTACAGAACACTGATTTAAAAAACATAAATACAGGCTAGTATGAAACAACGTAGATATTCTAGAAAAACTTAGCGAGAGCCTACCCCCCCCCCCTCTTATTTTATATGTTAAAAGTCACTGACTATTCAGTAGGCGGGGAGAATTTTGCAAAAATTAATCCCATCAGCTCTTTCGTTTAATGTAACATCGTGAAGTTTTTTCTGATACAATATTTATATTTAAAGTATTTTTTTAAACTTTTTAGATCAACAGTGATTTATCTGGTGACTATATTATGTAGTTCTTGGGTGAAAACTAGTGTTCAGAGTTATCCCAAGAGATTTACCAAGGCATCTATAAATAAATATATCATGATATGCATATTAATAAGGTAGCAGGTTGATAGACAGCAACCATCCAGGGAGGTTCTATTCTTGCATTTAAATGTAAAGAGAGGAAGACTTAATTTTGGTTTCTTGATCCGAGGAATTGAAGATTTGCTTCTTCTATAGATCAAACGTGATTGCCTCCCATTTCCCAGGTGCTTATTTAACCCTTGAGAGTTTAGCTCTTCCCCATAAATACAATAATAATTCGGGTCACCCTACCCTTGTGAGATACGATTAGGTTAAAATATATAGTAAGCAGTACATCGTAAGAATGATATGAATATAAAATGTACACAACACGGGTTTATCATTTACAATTGTTTTAAATGTTTAATTATATGAAAATATTATATGAGCCTCTCTTTATTCAGTCTAACTTTCAGTCAAGCTGAGTCAGACGGAGTACAAGAGCAGCGCAGTAATGCAGAGAGGTGTAGACACTGCTGGTGTGACCTGGCAGGTCCTCGGCGCCAGTAACACCAGCAAGATTATGGCGCTAGAAGTGTTGCACACTTACAGTGGCAAGTCATACGGCGTTATATTCATGGTGAGCTTGTTCTTGTTCTTGTTCAGACCAGAGCTTTGGTGAGATGGGGAAGGAAGAAGGATGGGTAAGGATGGAAATATTGGAAAAGGGTGGGAGGGGGGTGAGAGGTAGGATATAAAGGTAAGTGGCCCAACCACTTTGGTGTAATTTAAAAAGTGTACGTGAAATGATAATATATTTATTTAAGGGGTATAAGACTAACCCATCAGAGTCACATAATATAACAGATATTAAAAAAAAAAAAGGCCTGAGCTTGCTACCACCTGCAGCTCACAAGACTGCCATCCCCACGAGCCCCTTTGGGGCGGGGCAGATGGCAGACCGAGGCCTAGCTTCTCCCTACGAGCCCCGTGAGGGCGGGGAATTGTGGCTAGGCCTGGGGACAGTTTGATCCCAAAGATTGAGGGGGGGGGTACTTGTACCTCTCCCATGGGAAACTTAATCTCGAGACACTCCCAGATAGGGAGCCAAGGGCGGGTCAACCACTTTGGAAAAACCCGGGCGGGAGAATACGGAATAAAAAAAAAAAAAAACAAAACAGATATATAAGTACATGACTCTGAATTGGTAGTAATTATACAGGTTGCAATTAGTTTTTTTTTTTTTTTTTTTTTTTTTTTTTTTTTTTTTTTTTTTCGATTGCACAACGGATATTTATGCGACAAGGAAGGCAATAATTTTCTGGCCAGTTTATAAAGTTCGTGACAATGGCTTCTTACAGGTGGTGTCCAGCCATAGTAAATAGCATAATTTTTACATTAGAAAGTTATATAAGATGTGTCCCTAATTGGGGGCGATGATTTTCTCAGTATACATAGAAGGGTTCTGGTGGTACCCATCTTCTTCATCAGGGAGGTTGCTCAATATCATGGGTCGAGGGTAATCATCTTTATGTATAAAACGACGAACCCTCTGTGGGAGAGTCATTCGTTGAGTCCTGTGAGGAGGAGTAGTGATGGTATAATCCGTGGTATTAACCACTTGTATAGGATGTTCTCTATCTGGCATGTATAGTTCTTGCATTGTATAAAGTTGTTTCTTTTTTAGGGTGTCAAGGCGTACATTTATGGCAGTAATATCTTGTTGTATGTGTAAATCTGCCATTTTAACTCTGTCTCTCCTCCTGGTATCGGTGATGAAGCGAAGAGCTCTATTCTGGACCCTTTGTAACCGGTGCATGTTGGTCTTTGTTGTTAGTGACATTGGGACACAAAGGTATTCGAGTATTGGTCTTATTATCATTTTATACAGATGTTTTTTGACATGTTGAGGGCTTGATTAAATCGAAAGAGTCTGCTAAGACCGGCTTTGGCTATGTTGATCATTTTAGTTACATGAGATGTTGAATGGAGCAGCCTGTCGATTTCATATCCCAAAATCTTGTTAGGGTTTCTAATGGCTACAGGTGTACCTCTGATGGAGATACCTCCTTTATCTCAATTGTTGATGCAAAACATCCTATCGTGCTAACAACGGAACCTTGTCAGGATTAGTTGTAATTCTCCATTTCTTTTCCCAATTAGATGTTCGACGAAGTTCAGTATTCATTTTCTCTATGACTCTCTCATACTTGTATTTTCCTGTTACCGGAGTTGATGAGACGACATGAAAAACCCATCATCTGCAAACTGTGTCACAATTGTGTCATTAAACTCGGTTGAGGAAGGTCATTCACTCATAAATGTTGAACAGGAGTGGACTGAGACAAGATCCTTGCGGGACACCAGCTGTCGGTATAAAGGCTCTGTCGACCTGCAAATGAAAGGTGGGAATGATTTTTCTTTGAGTTAAGAATTTTATATTAATCTGAGAAAAGTCCAGTTATGGTCTGGTAGGTAAATTTGGAGTTTGTATATTAGGCCATCATGTTCATAACTATCAAAGTTTAGAACATCTTGGTGGCAATTAAGGCCAAGATTGCCCTGATGTTTTAGACTTGGCTACAGTATCGAAAATAACATTATTGCTGAATGGTAACCTTATGTGTCTAAAGCCAAATTGTTTTTCAGTAAAAAAAGTGATTAAACTCTATAGTAGTTCAAATCTTTTGGGAAATGACTTTCTCAAGAACTTTTCCGTGACTTCAAGTAAAGAAATAGGTCTATAGTTCCCAGGTTGGTGGATGTCTTTATTGGGCTTACCAAGAAGATCATCTTAGCAGTCTTAAAAACAACTGGAAAATGTCCTGAGGCAAGATGGCTTTAAAGATATTGACCAAAGACTGTTTACAATTTCTAGGTAGGTACTTTATTTGTTTCATTGTTATTCCAGAGAGGCCAGGGGCTTATTTCTCATTCTTCCAATAACCTGACTTATCTCTAGTAATGTAATAGGTCTAGTAAGCGGGTGGGTATCTTCAAGAGTTGAAGTATCGATGGAAGGTGGTGGTTGTAGATCATCCAAGTTCTCATCTCTCCATTCATTTACTAACTGATAATGATTATTGTTAAATTGACGACTGTTATTATGGGAGAGAATTTTCTCCCATACATCACCCATCAAATTAGCCTGGTCCTGTGGATCGTCAAGTTTAATTTCAACATCTTCCTCATCCTCATCAGTGAAGGTATGAACTAGGTAGTTAGGAGCCTTGTGCTTTGCCCCTAAAAGTTGTCGGATCTTACTCCAAAATTTTGCTGGTTCACGTTTATATTGATTCGCTTGAAGAACTAGAAGTTTCCATATGTCCCGTTTGTGATGACTAATCATAGTAATTAATTCTTGCCTTAATCGGGGGCAGTGTAGCTGCTGGTGGTTGTCGCGTTTGAAGATGCCTTCGACATTCTGCTTGATAATTTCTCACATTGTCTCTAATTTCCCTAGTAGGTTTATATTGTTGGTATATCTTTGTGGAAGCTAATTGACAAGTTGCATTAGTTGCTTCAATTATTCGATTATGCAGGGGCCTGATTGCATCATCAATTGCATTGGAAGGTAGATTTTCCAATGACACAATTTCCCTCATCACCCAGATATGCCCTGAAGGGGTCAAATCCTAGGGTGTTAAGATTGAGTTTAGGAGGTACAGGTATTCTAAATGGAGAAGTTTGTAGTTGTATTATAACAGGGATATGGTCAGATCCTACATGTCCACCAGGAGATATACGACAGTGAAAGACGTCACAGTCCCTGTTTGTCAGTACTATATCAGGTGTCCCTGGATGAGGTCCAATGTACGATTTAAAGAATGGGCCTTGAAATGACAAGTTTTCTAGCTGTCATGATATTTAAAGAGTTGTTTTTCCTTTTAAGTCACCCAGTGGAATACCAGCTCCACAGTTGAAGAGGGCAGGGTGATGAGCATTAAAATCTCCCGCTAGAATTGTTGGAATATTCCTACTTAATATCCTATGTAGAGGAATTGACTCTATATATTTTTGTCTCGGGGGGAAAATATCCAGTTACTATCACTAGTTATCCATGAGACGTTTGTCATTTCTATTGCAAGAATGTTATCTTCATCAACATGAATTTTTTAAATGTATAGCCTAATTTTACTAAGATGGCTACTCCACTAAATGGTCCTCTCGATTTCTCCACAGTAGAGTAACCACGTAATTTAATATATTGATCAACTCTTGCAGCTGTCTCGTTCAGAAGTATAACATCGGGATTGTAATTATGTAGTTCAACCTCAAGAAGGTAACGGTTATTAAAGAAATGTTGAACATTAAGTTGGAAAATTGTAATCCCCATTATTTCTTGCACTTCGCTCGTGTACTGCGGTCTGAACGCCTGCAAGTAATGTCACGTGTTGTATCCACACTATCCCTGCTGGACTCGTCAAGGGGAGGAGGGAACTTTTGCGTAGGTGCTTGTGTATTAAGAATGCCATCATCTTCACTAGAGGTAGTAATATTAACAGACTCATTAGAATCGGTAGAGTCATCATCAGAAAACTGAGGTGTGTTATTCCTTGTTACAGGAAGCAGAGGCTCGTGAGAGTTAATGGGAGACTGTGGAGGCTCCAAGGGAAAAGTAGGCAGGCAAGGTGAGTCACCCTGGGAAAGTTCCTGTTCAACATGATCAGCTTCAATAGCGGGAGAGTAGGCACCACTTTCTGGGGCATTGTTATGTTCAGGTGTTGACTTATCGGGTTGAGGGGAGTTGACAACCTGGGTTTGTGAGGTGGCGATCCTGAGCCAGGGATGACTTAGGCTTATTTTTAGATGCAGAGTAGGGAACATACTTCTTGTTATGAGAAGGCTGGGTCATAATAGCCTTCACATTTTCTGGGATAGTGATGGGAGTAATCCCATTAGCCATTAACAGATCATTTAAAACCTGAGAGCAGAGTTGAATGTCACCACCTGCTATGTCTTTGGCCATCATGTACATTAGTTGTGCTCTCGTCATATCCCCGGCTGTGGATACCTGAGACATAGGAGATGATACTGAACCTTGTTGTTGCGTTTGTGTATGGTGTAAGTGAGGGTTAGATTGGGGCGCTCCAAGAGGGGCAGAATTCCAAACATTGGAACCATTGGTAGAGACCTGAGGAGTCCCACTTGATCCAGGCAGAGCTGGGAAGGAAGTCTGGGACATCGTTGGCGGTGCCTGGGGAGTGGTCTTAGCAGTGGACAGTTTCTTGGCTTCAAGAATTTTCTGCATTTCCTTTTTCCTTTCAGGACAAATAGCAGAAACAGCATGATGTTTTCCATTGCAGAGGACACATTTAGGTGTATTTTTGTTGGTAACAATCTCTATACGAATGTTGGCCAGAGCAAATGCTACAAATCTGCCCTTGAGTACTGCATTTATTGTTGTTATGACCAAAGGCATAACATTGAAACATTGTGTCACACTGACAAATCGTTCAAGGGAGATTTGGTCAGGTGTACATCTGGTGCCAAAACATTTGAATCCATGTTGACACACAAGTTTGGCCTCCTCAGGTTTTCTCAAGTATTAGCTTTAAGGTCACCTTGTTGTTGGTTTGGATTAGAGAATTTATGTGCTTCTACAGCCCTAAAGTCAGAATTCTCGGTGTTAATGTCGTCAACAAAATTTTATTCACTGTGCTATGTTTCATGAAACTGTTGATTCTGGCCACAAAAAACAGTCCTCTGAGCTTGATAGCTATCAGGTGCAACTGGGGTAACACCAGAAGTCTTGAGTTTTTCAAGCACATCATGCTTCAGAAGTTGAAGTAACTTCTTCCGAAGAGAGGAGAAGTACTGCTCCAGCGTGGGTTTGAAAAACATCCACTGGAGCAACAGTTGAGTTGGAGCAAATACATGTGAGAATTTCTTTCATTGACATTTGATTGCCGTCAATGCGTAATCTTACACGTATTCTCGCCATGATGTTGAGGAAGGAACATCTGGCAGAGGAGTTTCTTAACAAAAAGGGAACTTTCCCTGATGTTAAACTAGCATCCTATTTCAGCTGACTTATGAAGGTCAGCCCCTAAGATAGCCTACCCTCGAGTAGTGAGGGAAAGGGCCCAAGGCAAAGATCGGCTGGATTTTAAAAAAACCACACGGGCTACCAGATGGTCAAAATGCCTTGTGTTAACTCGCCAAAGCGAAGTTGCCGAAAAAGAAGAAGATAGGAAAGTCAGAAGGATAGCAATGTATATAGTGTGTTAAGTGTGTGGGCCAGTGTTGATGTTTGGGTGAGGGTAGGATGGGGAAGGATGGGGGGATGGGGATGAAAGGGGTGAACAAGCAAGCAAGTCACCGCCTTACCCTCTTGATGGGATGGGGCTCGAAGTGACTGTAAGCAAGTTTCCTCTCAGCTCTGGTGAGAATTACTCAGGATAACACAAGAAAAATCCCGAGCAACAGTGTTCAGAGTTGCTCAGCTGAAGAGCAGGAACGACGACGTCTTCTCTCCACGGTGGCTGGGCTGCTCATTTGTCTGGTGAGCTACTCTGTGTGAATATGACACTTTTGGGGCACCTTCATTGTTTACTGTCTTACAACATTTTGACGGTATAAGGTGACCATTTGAAGACTTATCATCTACCAAAGAAAAAACGAAAAACATTTATACGTGCCTTTACATAGGTAAATTATTTAATATCACCTAAAATTTAGCATGATGGGATTAGACTCCTATATTAGTCTTGCTGCAGCATGAAATATTGCTGTATCCAAAATTTTATATTTTAATATTTTCTTTGGGGCGCGAATATTAAGTGATCCTCTGTAAATTTAAAATACTAATATATTTTCAGTCACATTTAATACGTTGTCGGTCGGATGTCATTTTTTTGTCTTCAATATATATATTGGTTAATTTACGAATCCTCTCATTTTTTTTAACCCTAGGTAGACATTCCAAAGTATATATCAGCCATCGAGTTTGAGAGTACCATTGGAGTAATGGAAGAAAATATCCTCTTGATTGAAGTTGGTCTGACATACGGAAGTCAAGTGATCCTGCAGGTGTATGGCCCAGTAAAATACGAACCCTCTTCAACATCTGTCGAGTTTAATGCTGAACTTAGGATCGTTACAGCAGTCACTGGACGTCACCACCTGTCTACCGCCGTCAGTTTTGCCAATAACAGTGAAATAATGTCCTTTACTCTCAAGAAACACCAGGAGTTAGTAGTTACTGTGGAGTGCAAAGCGGTGAAAATCACCCAACAAGAGACTGTTATCGCAGCACGGGTCTTGCTCCCTGGCTTAGTCGACTTGATGACTGACATTATCACAAACGAGAGGTTCCTGTACATCACTCTCACTGGCTTGCTCTCACTGAGGAACACGTCGCCGCATACACTCAAGGGCTACGTCAACATCGACCTGCATATGAAAAGTGGGAGGGTGGATATCTCGTGGGATACTGACCACGACCCCAGCACCAGAGTCACCATTGATGTCACCATTGCTAGTGTCCCTCTCCATCCAGGCCAATTCTCCCTTCAGTGAGTTTCCTACATCAGAGAGTGTAATAGTTTTATTCTCTACTACTGTACATTTCATAATTGATTTGGTATAGTAACAACCCACATTCAGCAGTACAGAAATAACGGCAACATCTTGGGTATAAATAGGCCTAGGCTCTAGTTAAGCCGAGAATATTCGTGCTATTTCGATACTGGTGAATACAGGTCATTCAGATATACACATACAGGCACTTTTTTTTTTTTTACAGTAGACGGAAATACAGTGACAGAAAAAATAGGTACTGCAGATTACAAGAAAATCTTTCTTAAAAATAAGATTATTGAAATAGGAAGTTACATCTTGAAGGGATGAAGTATTATTATTATTATTATTATTATTATTATTATTATTATTAGTAGTAGTAGTAGTAGTAGTATTAATTATTATTATGATTATTATTATTACCGTATATTCATTGAGTCATACATCGCCTACAAAATAGGAAGCAGTCATTTTTGATTCGAGGAAATGAAAGGTAGTTCCAGTTCCTTGGATTAAGAACTCTTCACCGGCATTAAAGCATCTGTTCCCCTTTAATGAAAAGGAAATATTTTTACCATTTTTACCCTCAGTTCCACATCACTCATGGGGTCTCATGCTGTATCACCCATGCTGGTTTGGCGCTATTTTTTGAGTAAAATAACATTCAAAGGAATCAAAAAACGCATATATATAACTGGCATTTTTGTTTTATTTACTTTCAGTCCTAAGAACTTAGTTTAGAAGAAAATTTCAGTATCACGTTTCTTTTTTTTATCTAATATGCAAAATTATTTTTTGAATATTATATTTAACCTCAGACCAGTGAAAATATGTTACTCTTTTTAAATGTGTTATCTATATTTTTGTCGCCATTCAACATTCAGGACAGCCTCGCATTAATGAGTTATTTTCTGTTATTCTGTAGAGGCCTGGTTGGGTACAGAGGCATGTCTTACCCTGTGGTTTTAGAAGTAAGTGTAGCAGACCTTCACCACACCACCTTCACTCTCAACATTCAAACACCAGACAACAAGTCCTTGGTCTTGGATTTTGTAAACGCATTTAAGATCAATTCCTCGGTCTCCATAGACACTCGTGTTCTGTACAAGAGCCTGCGCGACATGCAATACAAGTTAACAAGCTTCATCACCTTTGAGAAATTGGATGGCCCGTTCAGCTTCAGCTTTGAATCTCAGCTCAGCTTCACAGCACCACAAGGTCATCAGACAAGCTTGAAGACTGAAGCTAAACACCAGTTGACACCTGAGAAGCGAATAATATATTTCAAGGTAAAGCTCCAATACCTGAATGGAATATACAGATTAATTCTGTATATATATTTAGAATAGTTAGCGATCATGTGTTGTAACATATATGAAGTAATTTTATCAAAATGCAACAGTGCAAAAGAGCGGCGACAGAATTTCTGTAGAGAGAACTTAGGGGAGGCTACCAGGTTGGGCGGATTAGGGGGAAGGAGTGCTAGGAAACTTGTTTTGAAGCATCGTTGTTATTATTTCTTTTATTTTCTGGGAATTCTGGGGGCTGAAGCCTCTTCCTTGGCGTCGCCATAGCGCAGTATCAATAATGATGTAAAAATACGCACTGTAGAAGAGGCGGCTTTTATGGAGACAACTTTTTGAGGATAGAGATTTATTCTGTTTATTTAACTTTTAATGAAACATATTAGGCTGTTCATATCTATCAGTCATGTTTATGGTAAACTGAAAAATGCTACGTTTACAGTTGTTTAATAAAATTCTGCTAACATGATTAAGAAAAATTGATCCTCTCTCTATCCCTCTTAGCAACAGTAACATGTTCTAATATAATATCTATTGATCATTGGGAAAACTGCATCCTTTTGTGTTCTTAGTAGATATACAGAAAGGGCTATATCTTATTTTGGAGAAACTTAGAAAAATCCCCTTGAGGTTTGATCACAAGAACACGTGAAGCAAAATTTTACTTACATCAGGGAAACATTTTCTTTCAGGGAAGCGCGTCTTCTCCGACAAGAAAGCTGCCACTGACACTTGAACTGGAATCAAACAGCACAAAAAAACTTTATGACTTACAGTGGATGGTAGACACAACTTTCCCGGTTACAATGTATAACGTAGAGCTAATGATAGGCCCTAACGGGGCTGTCAGAGTCTTTGATTCCTGTCTAAATGTTACTGCTGTTATGGAATTCTTAGATGCTGTGGTGAAGCTGTTGGATCTTGAAGTGTGGTATTCGGATGAATTTTATGAAATAGGCAGTAAAGAAATTGTTGTATACCACTACCGCTTTCACAGACCCACACTCAACACCTTCTCAGTGATCTTCGAGTCTCCATCCCGCAGTGTTGAGGGTGAAGCAGAGTACTCGCCTTCAGAATCAAGTTTTAAGTTCTTTCTTGACAGAAATCGCACATACAGGATCGCTGCTAAGTCCTCCTACAGCCAATTGGATCAGCAGTCAAAGTACGAAGGCCGATTGAGTCACCCAAGACTGACAAAGGATCTAGGAGTTACTCTTCAGTTCTCAGATAGTGTAGAGACCCCGAGAGGAACCATTGAGCTGGATATTTTCCCCGATAGAGCAGACAAAATTACAGGCGCTTTAAAGACAAGGAAGATGACCAGAAATACCATCATGTTTGAGGTGTTGTTTACATCCAGGGTAAGTATTCTTTAGTCCGCAAGTTGTAGCACATGACCAGTCGCTTATTTTAATGCAAATTTGATAAAAAAAAATACTACCGGGTTTTAGACAGAAAGTGATGTTTGTTTTTAATATAGTTGTCTGCATTACCAGCGGTCTTGCAAGACCACTTCTATTCTTGCTTTGTAGCGCGTCAGTGGTTATAATCATAGCCATTGATTTTTAAAGAAGTGGACCGGTAAGCCAGCGGAAGTCTTCAGTCAGATGACCATAAGCTCCAGCTGTGGGTCATCATATGACTAACACCCGCGTCACAAAACACTTGTCCTGTTTCCTGATAAACATTATACCTACCATTTTGGTTTGCAGAAATGACATGGATGATGTTTAATACAGTACAATACAAATATATGCCGACTCTAAAATAAGTAAATCACAATAACACTTGAGCTTCAGTGACTGTAAACAGACCTTGATGACGAAGTTGCATTGACTATTAAATGACAAATTTAAATCATACATTTGATGAGCACCAGACTTATAGAGTAACTGAAGACCAAGAACATTGAGAAATAGTGCCTAATAATTTGAAGCTAGGTGGGCAGTGCCCCGAGACTAAAAGCCACTAAAAGGAATTAAAAATATATTATTTATGTGTCCTTATTTTGAGATGCTGTTTTATATTGATTTATTCATAAAAACTTTTTAAATACTGTACACCAACAAATTTGTTATTGTGAACATAATATTACACCTTACTCAGGATGCTTATCTAAAATAAAAACTATTTGCTTTTCTAGATACTAGAAAATAACCCTAAACTCGTAGTGGTCATCGCCAGGGCGCCACATATTGTTGGGTTCGATGCCATGATACACTTGAGGTCCTCTTCGCCAGTATTATTTCAAGTGTCAGCAAAATACGACGGAACTCCTACTGGAGATGCAACAGTGACCTTCCATGTGAAGAACACTGAAGGTACCGTGATGGAAATAGCTGGTGTGGTGAAGCCCGAGTTAGTTCCTGACTGTAAGGGCCTCAGGATCAAGAGTGTAGTGCACACCTCTCTAATTGGAAGTTACGACATTCATTTGAGACTGGGCAAACCATCAGTTTTCGAGCTGATTACGGAGAGTCACAGTAGCCGCAAGGTTTATACCACAAAGTTCGACTTCTACACTTTCAAGAATGTCGAGGCTATGATGTCTGTATATGACAAGCTTCATCATAAGGAAGAAGTTATTGTTTTATCACGTATAAAGCCCTTATCTCCTTACATGATCGATGTTGATATGACCTACAACGAAAGAAAATTTAAATCACTGAAGGTAAGTCCCTAACGTTAATGTGTTCATTAACATTTGCACTAGAAAAATTTAAAATCACCGTTAAGGTGCAACACCGAACCAAACTACAACTAAATTAATTACTGACAAAAGGAAGTGAATACTTTAACTTCACTGTAAGCTTTTGCCAACCTACTAATATGCATATATTTTTTTTCAATGTTAAACTCATCACTAACTAAATTAACATAACTGAAGCACTAACTCATCTCTCTCCTAACTTTATTATGGTTGGGAGTACAGGTGAGAGTAAGTGAGTGAATGTTCCCTCAGGATACTGTGTCAGAGAACTGGGTGTACGTGGCCAAGACATTTTTAGAGTGGAGCGCCAAGCAGTACCAGTGGGTGGTGAGACAGGCTCACCATCGCCACATAAACTTTCCACCAGAAGAGCTCAGCTCACAAGTCGGGCAGCTCCTATGGGATCTGTCGGACATCAAATCATACCTAAGTGATGAGATTACTGCAGCCTACGAGTTCCTCTGTCAAAACCTAGACACTCCTAGTGTGGCTTACATACGTCAAGTGGTGAACCGTGTCTGGGGGTCCTCAGCTGGCTCAAACAACGCCTCCCCAGACACACAATCACACCCTATGAAGAGAAGCTACACTGGATGAAAGAAACTGCCGAATTCAATTATATCGTCAAAGCAGGTAAACAAAAAGATAATTATATTATGATAATCAGGAGCAGTAACAATGCAAGTTGAAATGAGCTACATGTTCACGCGGCACTAGGTCCCAGTCACATTATAATTATCATATAATATTAACAGCAGTAGTAGTATTAGTAGTAGTAAAATGTTTAGTACATTCATCTTCCAAAATTACTTATTACATAGGGTTGTGCTGTCTGGTGGACTGTGCTTGGAAAACCTAAGTGGGCAGTGAGGATATCCCTAAGTATTCCAGAATGGATATTCTTCAAGGATGGGTGGGGGGGGGAACCCTTGATGATGAAGGGCTCTTGACCTTAGAAATTAGAGCTTTGCACAGTCTGTCTGTACCAGCAGTACTCACCAGTAACACTACACTACACACACACACACACACACACACACTTAGGAAATTAATATAAGCAATGTAAACACTTGAGTTTCACGAATGTTAGGGGGATCCTGTCTTGCAAATGTCAGAGGATCCAATATTGGAAATGTTAAGAGCATCCAATACTGGAAATATTAGGGATTAAATGCTAGAAAGAAGAGATTAAATGTTGGCGAGTAGAGTGGTTAAAAAATTAAAACATAATTAACGAACTAATTTACATACAACATAGTAAGGTATCGCAAAATATGCAATATCTCCCTAACAGTCAAACACCTGTATTGGAACTTACACTAGAGATAAGTAACTTTCACCAGAAACAGATAACTTAGCTCAACAACAGTAATGTCGTTAGTTCTAAATGTTGTACCGCCAGCACCAGTGAAGAAAAGACGTTTGCGAACCAAGCTTGTAACTAAATAAAGCTGCATCAGTGCGAACCGTTGCCCCACTGAAAGCTTGGTCTGCATCATGTCTACTCTTAACAATATCGTCGTGTCAAGGTGAATAACACACCTGCTGTTCACTCATTCATACTTCACTTTTCTTTACTGTTTTTTACGACTACTTTTAATATATTTTTTTCATGTTCATAAAGAGTGGCCAGCTTTTGGATCATTCACCACTTAACGAAAACACCGTTTTCATCTGAAATAATATAAATATATCAAAATCAATCTATATTTCATATGCAATCTTTCTAAAATTACTTAAAGGATGTTTTCTTGATTCCATCTGACAAATACTTTGCCAGTTGCCCTGAAGGTTATACATGGAATATTGCACGGTGACGCGGGTGCCACATTGCGTCTCCTGTTCTACCATCTGAGACACACAACCTTCTACAACATGCTCAAGAATGACCTCGATAACATCATGATACAATACCCAGAGGAGTACGAGACCATTCAGCAGATAGTGGAACAAGTCGAAGATGTCTTCGAGTTAGATCTGGACGATCTACAGCGAAGCCCTGCCACACTAGAAGCGACAATCGTGATCTTCAGAAAGATTAACGAGGTAAGTGATGAGGCTCTGGCAGTTTAGAAGTGGCAAGAAGTATAATTTTTTTTCTTATTTTTTCCCCCAACTTTTCGGGGTCATCCTTCACTTTCTCAATATCCTTTCATAAGTATGGCGACTAAAACTGTACACAATATTCTAGATTAAGACGCATTGAGGACCAATAACGATTTACATTTATGTAATTTACTTACGTTCAGATACTGAAAGAAGTTCAAGTGAACGAAGTGTCAGTGCTATACAGCATGCTTTGGGCCTATGACACTTACACTACCCTGCCCCTCAACAAAGTGATATGGTACTACTACCTCCAGTCTCACGGCTTCATAAACCTCCTGCCTCCTTATGACCGCACAGCCATGGTTGTCGGGGGTACAGAGATTCTCACCTTTGATGGAGCTTTGTTACGGATGCCTATTTCACCGTGTGAGGTGATTTTAATTTCCTACTCCTCTAACAAGCTTACTATGGCCCACCCAGATCCATCGGCGCCTCCAGAAATCACATTTGTTGCTGGTCCAGTTATCGTAACCATTAAATCAAATTACATTGTTAAAGTTAATGGACAGATCATTTATGATTATGAAGTCAGTTACGGTGACATAACTATTCTGCAGACGCATCTTCAAGTCAAAATAACCTCAACTTTCTTGATAGTTCGCGTGTCCACCTCAGCGCGTGTAGTGTCCCTGGAAATCTCTGGATGGACATTTGCTCGTCTGGATGGTCTTCTGGGCACTTACGATGGCGAAAGTGGTAATGACTGGCTCACGTCCACTGGTACCCGGGCCTCCAGCCTCCAGGAGTTGGTGTCATCGTGGCAGGAGGACCAGCAGTGTCACACTCCAGCTGTCTCTCCCATCAGCCCAGTGGAAGTCACAGCAGAGAGGAAGGTTCAGTGCTTACCCATTGCTAGGAGTGTGGTCCAGGTGCAATTCTTTAGTACGACCAGAGCCTTTCATCCACTTCTGCTATGTATCTCCCAGCCCCTGTGACGCAGCTCAGGCCTACCGCACTCTCTGCTCTAATAAAGGAATTACACCATTGGTGCCAAGAGGATGTTAAATTTAGAAATATAGATAAATCTAGTTAAGCAAATTTAGAAATATAAATAAACCTAGTAAAGCAAATTTAGAGATATAAATTAGTAAAGCAAATTTAGAAATATAAATAAATCTAGTAAAGCAAATTTAGAAATATAGATAAATCTGGTAGAGTAAATTTAGAAATATAGATATTGCACATGAACCACATATTCCTTACCTCCCTTAGTGCTGAGAATGTACGATTTTTTTTTTCAACTGATGGGAGGGTATTATCGACAGGCTACCGTCTGTCCGCCTTTCGTCACAGGGCAGTGCAGATGGAGGAGGAGGCTGGAGAAAAGTATAATCGAAATGCCTGGTGTTGACTTCCGTACTCCAGGTGGGGGAATGACCCAAGATACAAGACCCCCACCACAAAGTTGTGGAACAGAAGAGGTGTGCTCATTGAGGCCGGGAGGCTCGGGCAATAAGAAGCTCAAGCTAGATTGGAATGGGTACCTGTCACTCAGGAGTCGACGTCATCTGAAGCCTGAACGTGTTCTTAGACCCACTAAATTCATCGTGGAACCTAAATAAAGGGCCACAGATGTGAATAAGTCAGCACAACAGAAGGCTGACAGACTAACAATAACTACGCCTTCCAGGAAAGGACAGCGGAGGAAAAGAAAAACCAACCCAGATCGATGAAAACATAAAATCATTAATTATCATTGCGCATTTTGTTTATCTCCACCCCAAGTTTATCAGTTGACAAAGGGGG